TCCTATAACCCTGTTTTTACATATATAAAGTATAATATTTTTCATATTTGAGGGTTCTACAGAATCCGGGTTGTTATAAGACTCGCCCTTAAGTTTGCTTCAGTTGATCTTTTTGTAAAATTAGACTGATTAAAACATTTTATTAAAATTGAAATTTTCTCATTAAATTATTAACATTCACATGTAGATATTAAATACTTACAAACTGGTGTTACTATTATATAGAGAAACGAGTAAATATTAATAATTAAAATACTCTTACTGAACCCATTTCATTCGAAATGAATGCATGAGTTTTCTTCGTTAAGAAGTTCGAGGAGTTAGATATGATGTCATTATTATAAAAGTCTAAATTAAAGTAGATTATTTCCAAATTCATAGGTAAAGTGCAGATTTTTTTTTAAAGTAAATGTACTCTTCACATATTTAAAACACTCTGTAATTTAGATTTGATAATAGATCTTGTGTCTATATTTAATTCAAATTGCTCTGTACAATATAGAGCAGTCTAGATAAGAGACTAGACTATTTTCCTAATGTGATGTCTCGACTTTTTATCATTAAATATAAACACACAATAGTGTTTAAGTTTTAAAAAACAACAAATTGTAATAGTTAAGTTAATCCATATAGTTCTAACTAATAGTTAGTTAGTTAGTTCAAAGATTCTAATAAGTAAATTGGTTGTTGACCAATTAACAACAAAAAATGAAGTTTTTATAGCCCAAGTTTTTATAAATGTGAGATGGTTTTGTGAATTAACATATGAGTCCACGGTTCAATCTTGAAACAATTCTATTCCTGACACAAGCAGTTTTAACAATATATATGGAGAATTAAACTAAAATATACTTTCAAAAACCACTAAAGCTGCATAGTTGGCGGTATTCAAAAGAGCTATAGAATTTACTGGATTGATTATTGAATTTTTAGATTTGGAAATGTTCTCACTTCCTTCTATTACACCCTTTTGCACTTGAAAAAGGTTTTTAGTGTAGGGCATAAAAGTTTTAATTGTATATGTGAATATATAAAATACTCGTAAAGGTTTGTGATTCACAATGGTTTTGCGGTATAGTTCCGGCTGCATCTGGACGGAGTAAAATAATTTCATTATTAACATCGCTTCCTAAATTCAAGAGCTAAATAAAACTATGGGCTTAAGACAGATTATTTGCTAATTTTTAAAGTGAATTGCCATTATATTTTGATTAAAAATATATAGTCCATAATACTTGGGAGTGAAATACTTTAAAGCTCTGGAATTTAAATTCTGGTATATATATTAAGTTTATATATAAATTCACTGATCGACTTATGCTTACATATACACATTTATTTACATTTATTTAGAGAAAGCTTGAATGATATAGGATATTTAGTAACACCTTTGGTCTGTTAAAACTGGACACAGTCTAGGAATAAACAGGGTACCAGCTCTCAACGGAGCGGAGCACTGCGACCATGGTTGATCTTTTGTGCTGTGTGGACACAGTCTAAATGCATTTGAAAATAGATATGTTTACTGCATATAAGCATTTGTTGTTTTATTTTAATTAAGATTGTAATTTGTATAATACTTTAGTACTCGCATATATAAACATGAATGAGTGTTTTTTCTATTATGGTTTGGCGGCATTGCAAACGAGTTTAGCCGTTGCGCTCAGTGTAAAGCCGCGGTAAACTTTTGCAAATGCAGAAATGCTTAAGCTGTCAAATCGTGCGCTCGTATATTCGTAGCTATGGGTAGCTCTATAAACATATAAGAGTACACAGATTTGGGACCGTATAGTTTTTATTACGCCACCCTTTCCGTTGTGTTTGACACTTTGTTTCGTTGCCCACGATAGAAGGTGGCACACAGAGTGGCGATAATAACGCTAATCACTTCTAAGTTCTCAGATGCTAATTTGTTGTATTGTAATTGTTGGCTGGCATGTGGTTTCATTGTGTGCACGCAGTTTGGATATCGCACAACACTGGCCGCCACTCACTGCCCATTCGATTTCGTTCAGCCAGTGCGCCGCGCTCACTTCAAATAAATCGCAAGCAACCAACTCAGCTTTTAGTTTAGCGTCGACTAGCAGCGATCGCGCAAGAATTTTCTATATATATTTTTAGATATTTTTTAGCTAACAATAGCTAAATGCAAAATATTATTTTTGTGTTTAATGAGATAAATAATTTCAAGATTAATGCCACGGAAATCTCTCCCTTAAAGTGTTGTGCGTCTGCTGTCTGCTGCAGTCCGAGGCAGCTGTCGTGACGAGCATGTCGTGAATGAATTCGTACGTTTGAGAGCAATTACATTAAATTAAGTTAAATTAAATTAAGTAAATAAACAATTATTTTTCGTTTTTTTTTTTTGGTACTGAAAGTGTGTTAATTAATTCAAATCAATAAAAAACTAAAAATTTGGTACGCTTAATTAGAAGAGTAAAAGTTGACATAATTTGTTGCTCCCCACTTCAAAACGATCGTAAAAAAAATTAAAAAAAAACTTTATAATTTCCGCTGAGCTGTAGTTCTCTGGCAGGCAAATAATTGTATTTAAATAAAAAATAAAAAATAATATATTTAAATGAAATTTTGCATAAACGCATAAAGTAATCGGTTGTTCTCGACTCTTGAAGCAATTGCCACAGACCTATGACAAAATCTTTTTATTGACTTTAACATATCGGAGTGTCCAATTTGTGATAATAAGTTTCTGTGCGCATAAACCGTTTTATAACTAAAACAGAAATTTGATTATTAAGAAAAACAATAAAAAAGATAAAAACAAATTTAATTGAAAAATGTGGATATATAAACCATACTTGTATCGCTTGCTGTGATAAACATTTTTTTATTTATTTGTTTATACAAAAAAAAAAAAACAAAAGATATTTGTTTTGACTTTACAGAGCTTATGCACCCTTCAGACGATACATATCAATTTCTTTTTTATTTGTTTATCTTAATTTTATGAATTTCTAATGATTGGCGTTCATTAAAAAATAATGAAACTTATGATGTGATATATGGTGAGAATGTGCCCCAAATTTAAATCAAATTTTGTGAAAATTATTCTGAACTAATTAAAAAATACAGTACAGTACAGTACAGTGTACGTCACCAAGGCTTCCTTTTTTGATTTGTTTGATTTTAAACAATATTAGAAGTATCTACTCTCAATGAATATCACATCTGGGTCTCTGATTATAAGGGGTTAAAGTTCAATATTGAGGTTTTGAGGGTCATTTATATATACAGTCAAACTTAGAATTTTTAGAGAGTTAGGGAATTTTTCTATTTTTAAAAGAAACTAGAATTACATTTTAAGGTATTTATTTATTTGCAATCAAATAAAGCACAGAAGTTATAGTAAAGTTAAATAATCAGAAATTAGTATTTGGGACTTTAATTTTTTTCTTATTTTAAGTGAAGACAGATTCCACTTTATTCATGCTCTTATCACTATCAGTTGTAGTATCATTCGTTTGCAAATATAAATTCAGAATTTGGAATGAATCTTCTACTTCATTTTTGGAAGACTGACGAACAATTACATCCACCGAACCCTCATCATCATTTTCCTTTGCACTTAGAATCGGATCCAGTCATTTAGAGCTATAGTGCTCTGAAAGCTTGATGTACAAGTTTCATTGTCAAGCTGAATATAATCGTTAAGAGTAGCATTGGAAGTTATTTTATTTACTTTAAACCACGCTGCCAGCGACTGGCATTTGCACAAAGAAGCAACATAAGAAAGAAGATATTAAACATTTGGTTTGGAAAAAGGGACTTCCCCTAACAGCAAAATGCATTTATAATAAAAACAAAAATTCGACTTATAGAATGCACTTTCCCCATATTCCTATCGGCACGGAACAAAATTTTTGTTCAAGATTTAGAGAAATTTGAATTATGGAAGCATAATCGTATGTAATTTGCTCTCTAAAACCTTGGTGCACTGTTTTTGGTTCGAGTTATAGAAGTTCGAGTTACGGAAGTTTGACTCTATATTACTATTTTAGCAGATGTAAATTTCGAGTCTTTATCAAACTTCAAACGGATTAAAATTGTTCTTATGAAAATTTTTTTAAATAAAATTAATTTTTATTTTTAATGAAAACATTTTGTAAGATAAAATCGTTTTTAAGAAATATTGGACACATCCCTCCATTTCAAACTGACGGCAAAAGATTTGGGAGAGAATATCAACAGTAAATATGTTTATTTATTTATTGATTGGAATAAAAAAATTGGAATTAAAAAGTTTAAATTAACTCTTCAACAATTTTATTTTACTTCCACTCGTATACCCAGATGTGTAGGAGAGTGGCGCTTTAAACAAAAAAAAAATTAATTAGCCATTTTAAATTAGTCACTAAGTTTAGTTACAAGAATATATTCATATACTAACTGTAAAGCAAAGCAATGCAAATTTATTTACTTTTTCTCATATCTTTAACTATAAACAAATGTCCAACGCTATACAAAACAAATATTTACAAAACTCGAAAACAATATATTAGGTCTGTTCCATGAGCTACTCGTAGTAAGTTTGAGTAACACTGTGTATACACAAATGTTCGAGTAAATGAGAGCATCTGAGAGAGCGTAACATCCCTGTCGACATTTGAAAATATTGATGTGTGAATCAGCTGTTTTGGTTTGAGTTTAAATTTTTGTGTTGTTTATTTGCACGGCTCTGGTGTTGTTATCAGACTTATAAAGCTGTTCCATGAAAATCTGTGTAAAGAGCGAAATTTGTGTTACGCTCTTAGTTTGTACTTTACTTGAGTTTTACTATGAGTAGCTGCTAGAACAGACCTATTATAAATTTAAATAGCTCAGCGTCTACACTGTCTAAAGTTTGGCAAGATTTTTACGTTCAACTACTTTATAGATTACTATATAGTAGACATAGATATTGATTACTAATTAGACTACTATATATTTCTTAAACAGAAGCAACTATCTTTAATTTTTACATTTTATCTGAAAACAAAAAAAACTATATGCGTTAGTGAAAATGTGAGACTGTGTCTAGAAATATTGCCAAAATCGAACCAGTGTAGAAACAGAGTAACCAAGTCTTTGGTAAGTTTTTTGTACACAGTTTTGTACTTAATTACTTCACAATATTCAAAATTATCACGTATTTGTATTTGCATTCCAAGTCTACACCAAGTCTACGATATCAACATTATAATATAAATTATACATCAGAAGTTGTTGCTTGAAATATGAAAATTTGGTGTCGATTTTGCGTTTGGCATTGGACATCTAAATGTATGTGATCGGTGGTTCAACATTAATAATGTTTTATTAGTAAAAAAAACTTCTTATTGAAAAAACTTTCTTATTTCTATTCTGTATTAAATGTAATGATCTACATTACATTTAATACATCTCGTCTTCCATTTTTTTCTTCTTACTTTTTTTGGTTTAAATTTCTGAGCACAGTTCAGCACTGACTGCGTGAGTATGTGAAGTGAAATAAAATGATATTAATTCAATATATATTATTGAATCAGGCATTTCTTATGATTTAATTGCTTTGGTACATGTATTTGAATATTTTTTAATTCAATTGTATGTATTTGTATGTAATTGTATTTATTTATTATTCGAAGTCGAAATTGTTTTCAATATCTAATTCGACTTAATTGCTTTAATTTTTTAACTTCCAATTGAGATTTTTATGATAATCAATTAGTATTAAAATCTTATTTTTCGAAAATTATTTATATTCAAAATCCTTCAGTTTTATATATTTTTGTATTGAAATGATGAAGTGCTTGAGATGTCATTATTTTAATTAATTTATTAAAGTTCTACAATATCCTCTGTTTTTCAATGTTTAATGTTATTAAATTTTAAGCCCACCAAAATTTGCGATTGATTCATTTACAGATTCTTTAAAATCTCATCACCAGATGAATTTCGAAAGCAGAAGAAAATTTTTATGTAAGTTCTAGACAGTTATAAACCTGAACCTGATTCATAAGCAGTAAATATTTGAACTGGACCAGTAAGTCCAGTAAGTCAGTTCACTCATTATTCAAGAAATGCACATTTTTTTAAAGTGACTTCATAATCACTTCAGATTTATTTCCTTTCAACTAATCTGAATGCTAAAATATGTAGGGATTTCACTTATCTGAACATTTCCTAATATTAGTATATAAGTTTCAGAAAAATAGCTTATCTTCAATTATTTTGCATTATTGTATAAGGGCATAATAACGTTATAATAAAAAATGATAAGAATTGCAAGTAGTTTACAATACCGCTAATTATCTCTGTTAGTTGAAATGAATGATTGCACTACTCATTAGTACAACTATTGATTAAAATTTAATAATTATATAATCACAAAATTCTAGTAATGGTTTCACGTCTCACGAACTAAACAGTTTTCTTGCTGATTATTCACATATAAGCACACCTCAATAGAGATTCAACTCAATTTCAAATTCATTGTGGATTAGCAAAACTTGGGTATTCTTTCACTTTAATTGAGTGATTTCGTATAGGATTATTTTGTATATGTGGAGCGTAACCGTAGTAAATCTTTAAAAGGATCGGCGTAACCGTAAGTTTCGTTTGAACAGTTCGGCGTTTGTTTAAAGTAACTTTTTACAAAAAACAAATAATTCTTCTAATTATTTTGGACCTCGTTATTTAAAAATCCTGAAAAATAAAAATGTTAAGTGCATGTATGATAAAATCCTTTATTCTTATTCTCACGGATGATATGCAAAAAGTGCGAGAATTCGTAAAAGTGTTCAAGTGTTTTCAATTTATTGAAAGTTAATGGGTCTATTTACACTCGGTCTGTTCTGAGAGCTGGACGTGAAATGAACTTGACGACAACATGAACTGACAGTTCAGTTTACACTATCATGCACTATCATGAAGAGTGAAATTTGTGTTGTTTTGTGTAAACGTATAAAATGTTTGTGTGTAGTAGTGTATAGCATAGAAATTCAAAGCTCACAAAACCAAAACATAACATATATATGTATGCGTATCAAGCTGAAAAAAAGCAGCAAATTTCCTTGCTTGAAATTGACATTACACTCTCTTCCTTCTCTTATCCATCAGAGGCCGCTTTTCAAGTTCATTTTCATGTTACGTTAATGATAGTGTAAATTGGGTCAATGTCACCTTTAACATCTATTAGCACTAAAATTTAAAATTGTCTGTAATTCTTTAAAATATTAAGGATATTGAGACGTTGCTGCGTAACACGGTTACTCGGTAATTGGTAAGGTAAAGTGCTAAAAAGACAACAGTCTAAAGATCATTTTTTACTTTTTCGACGGAATTGTGAAATTTTTATTATGTTGCATATAAAAGAAAATAGCAAAAAAAGGTTGAAAAAATAAATATAATAAAGTGATTTTTTTTTATATAATCCTTTTATTTTCGTCGATATTTGGTTATGTATTTTATTACATACTTACATACTTGAAATTCTTAATTAAATTTAAATTTTATGCAACACTTCCCAATTATAAAAATTAGCTTACAATTTACCTAATACCAACAAAATGATCCGACTTCATCAGACCATATAGCATGATCAATATGCATAAAAGGATTCGGTTACTTGCTAACATATTATCGTCATAAATAATAATAGTAATTTTGAATGAAATACTGGGGATAAAAACAAAAATGTTATATGTATATTCTATTGAAACTTGGAAGATGATTGGCGATGATGATTTACCTCAAACAAAGAACGCAGAAACTGCAGAAATTAAAATAAATAACAAATGGAAAATAATTCTTTGAAAGTTTCTATGTTTCTATGTTTTTAACTGGAGGGAAAGATCAGATTTTTATTAACAGATATGTTATCTATGTTTGTTGTCACAATAGACTATAAAGTTTATTTCAGAAATGCTAATTCGTTAAAGAAATGATCAATTATATACTCAATTATACATAAGTATGTATATTCAAGTAAATGATAGGTTCTGAATTTTTTATTCATTTAAAGGAAATGTGCTAATCTATTTGTACTTATCTATGGATGTATAAGCAAACTATAAGCTATACATTTTTCGTATTTAGGTTTATGTTGCAAGCATTGTGAATCTCTTGGATTTCTCTAGAACTTTCAGCTACCGGGACTTCTTAATTGCACTTCTATCGTAGACAGTTACCAAATTTTTAAAGTGTGTTCATTATATTTTCTTCGTATTATAAACAATAGCTTTCCATTTAATAATTTCTAATAATTTATAATTATTCTAGGTTGCCTTATGGAGGAAATATATTTTAAAACTATGTAACGACGTAAAAGTGAATTATTTGAAAATATGTCACATATAAACGATTTTGGTACATCGGAAATGCGTCCGCTTTTGTGTACCTATGACAACGATGATAATAATGAAAGCAGTACAAATATCAGTTTTATGCCTAAAACGGAAGGAACGGATGCGGAAAGCAATAGAGATATTAATAAAAATATTTTAGAGGCTTTAGACTTACGAAAGAGTTGGAAACAATATACCAGCAGGCGATACACAAAGTCCAATAAGTTTTCTAGTTGGACTTGTCGATTGATGAGACGAAAACATATATTCGCCATTTTTGGTTTACTACTATTAATTTTGTACATACATATAACTCTATCTAAAGATAGTTATGATGCGGATAAAGTTCCAGTCCTACATTATTCGCATGTACCTGGCATGAAAGGTAAGTAATATTTACTTTTGTTGTAAATAATTTGCATTGGTGTATGTTGAAAATAGAGTAAAACTGTTTAAAATAATTTTTGCTTCAATTTATTGGCTAAAACTTCTGAGTTCATAGGTCTTTCGCAATAGTAAAGATATAAAGTAGACAGTAAATATATTAGGTTTGTTCAATAAGATAACATAATGGATGTAGTTTATCCAAATAATTAACTTTTATTTTAAAACTGATTTCACGAAAACTTATAGAATAGTTTGAAATATTCGTTAGTTGTGGTAATAACTATATGTTTATACTATCTCAATTAGCTTATATTTATAAGCTAATTGTAATTATTATTGTAATTAATTGTAATTAATTATTCCAATCTGACAGCTACATTTGCTGCTGTTGATAAAAACCAAATAGAAAATAAAATCTTTAACAAAGAAATGGATTTTAATTGATCATTATAAGAAACGCACATAATAAATAATTAATTCAGATCTACGTGTATATGGATCCATTTAAATTAAAATTTTAACTTGGTTATTCATATTTCATTTAGTTCTCTGTTTCATTTAACAGTTCTTACAACTTTAAATATTTATTAAAATCTATTTTATTAAATAATTGCGATTATATTCATTAAATAATAATAATAATTATAATTAATAATTAATAATTAATTATAATTAAAATTTATATTATTTAGTTGTGATTATTTTTAAATAATAATTATTTTTATTATTTAATAATAACAATTATTATTATTATTTAATAGTAAGAATTATTATTATTATTTAATAATAAATTAAATATTTATTAAAATTTATTTCACTAAATAATTGCGATTATATTTAAATAATAGTAATTATTATTATTTAATAATTATTTAATATTAATAATATTTATTATTTAATTATTAATTATGATTATAATGATTATTATTTAAATAATAATTGCGATTTTAGAATCTGTCATAATAATAATAATAATTGTGCTTATAATAGATATTATTCTTATTATTATAATAATAAGATGTAAACATGAAATAAAACTTTTTCGAATGTTATATATATAACTATCATTAGTCTATGTATGTATGGGTATTCTATAATCCTTAAAAATGCAATGTTGCGTATGAAGTGATATTTTAATATACTTCGGCACTATATATTATTGCTTTTTTTGTTATTTCTTTTTGTTTGTTTTTATTAATGTATAGCAAATCTAATACAAGGTAGCCAAGTTCTAGACTACTGTACAGAAGGCTCTGGTCGTCAATGGGATGCACATCGTACACAGTTGGTCAAAACTGTTTGCCCAACGGTATGAACTGACCGTATAACGCATAATAGCACACGTTCTAGCCCGTTGAACAGTAAAGCCTTGATATACAATAGGTTAGAACTCGTGTACTTTGGGCATTGCTATTGCGAAAACGTAGCTCGAATGTTAGCCAATAAATTAATTTAATTAATTTATGTGTTTAATTTTTACGTATATTACAAATTTATATCTTTTTTACATTATACTAAAACAAAGTAAAAGCTTTTTTAATTTTATTTAATTTTGATTTTGTGTTCTGTGTTTGTTTGCATGAATTTGGTTGCAACATTAAAATTTTAACAATTGTTTCGAAAATGTGGTTTGCTCGCAACTTAACAAAATTTGGATTTTATTCGTTTTGGTTGTTTAATTTACATGGATAATTTTATTAATTGCACATGTGTCTGTGTCTTGTGTCAACTGTATGCATGTGAATCTGTGTACGTGTCACCTATGCAATAAAAAAATATGTGTAAATTAAACACAAATGGCAACAGAAGCAAAAAACCTCACCGCTACGCCGCAAAAGCACAAAGCGCAGTCATCCTTCGATCCTTCGAACTCAACAGAATACCAACAGTTATTGAAAATAGTTAAAGCTGTCAATAAGACTCCAACACATACAGCGGCATCGGCCAAGACGGCCAAGACGGCCAAGACGGCGACTGCTAGTGTTTATGCTGATGCTGATGCTGGTGCTGTAACTGCTGTTACCGGTACAGCTTCTGTTAAAGTTGCTTCTGCTGTTCACAGCACTGACGTTTTAAATAATCAAAAATTGTATTCTTTTAATTCTTCCTTTTACACTACGCTTAACTCATCTCTACCAATATCTCTACCAACACCTTCCGACATCACCATCGCCATCACCACCAACACAAACGTACTTAATGCATCCCTAACGCCACCCAAAGGGTATTTGGTTTGGAGTGAACGTTGTAAAATGCCAAATATCGATCCTTACCTACCTGAAGTCATGAAATACTTTAAACGCGAAAAATTTAAGCCTTGCTCCAAAACTAAGCCCCTCACTCGTGTGGATTATAACGCGACTTCCAAACGATACGTGCTGCAAGTTATCAAGGAGCATATTAGCGAATACAGTACAACTGGTAATTTGGACTGTTGCTACCAGGTCATAGAAAGAAATTATACTGGGATAGATGCAGATAAGGAAGTAAGGTAAGAACATATTTTTGTTTTCATTGTTAAATAGTAGGTCTGTTCCACGAGCTAGTCTTATTAACTTTGAGTAACACTGTGTACACAAAAGTGCGTTCCATCACCAAATTTTCGAGTAAATAAGAGCAAGTGAAATTTGTGTTGATGTGTGAATCACCTGTTTTGGTTTGAGTTTAAATTTTTGTATTGTTTATTTGCGCGGCACTGGTGTTCTCACCAGATTTTACACAAAGTTGTTCCATGAAAATCTGTGTAAAGAGCGAAATTTGGCACTTTTCTTGTGTTACGCTCTCATTTTGTACTTTACTTGAGTTTTACTATGAGTAGCCCGTGGAACACATATACACTTAGCAGAAAAAGTGTACGGACACCCACAAAATTTTTCTTAAATTGCCCATAACTTATTTAATTTTTATTCAAATATATTTCTGTTTTCTGATTTATTTTCACAAAAGCAACAACAATAAAGTTTTAATATAAAAAATTAACAGTTATTCTTTTAAAAAAAATTATACACAATTATGTGCACAAGCATCAATTTTTAAAGCAGAAAAAGTCTACGGACACTTCTTAATATATCATTTTAACATTACTGAAAAACTCCCTTGGTTCGTCTTCTTTGTAAACTGTGAAACTTCATCGGTTATTATGAGCAACTGGATCTATAATTTGTACCAATTCCTTGAACTTATTACAGCAGGGTTTGTCAATCAATTAAAAACAGTTCTCTCTTTCTCTCTCTCTCTAAAGTAGAACATTCTTAATGCGCTCAAATATTGTTTAGACAAAACTGGATCTTGACACAATTAATGTTTAATCATTTCTTTCATGTTCTGATTTTGACCGCTTCTATTTGAAATCTGTACTTGACAGAACTAACTTTCACAATTATTAAACTCACTATGACTTATTACTGATCATAACTCTGTGTTAAACTTTAGAGAGAGTTTGTTCTTTGAAAATTGTTTTTGTTAGATTTACCTCTACATAGCACAAGTTCGTTATATTTGAGGATACAAGGATTCTTATATATGTTATTATGCAAAAGAGTACTATCGTATAAGTAAAGGTAGATCCTTCAATATATTATTCATGCTTTTGGTTAATTTAACATACTGTGATATCGCAGTTGGTTACATGTTGTCCGAATCTATTACACAAATTTGTACTATATTGACTATATCTAAAAGATTAAAATTAAAATTTTGTTTTTCATAATTTTTCTCATTTCACAGTTTAAGTGAATGCATAAGTTTTAAGAAAAAAACGAGTTTGGCATCAACTGTAGACAATATTTTAGTGAAATGTCGAGTAAAAAAGAGCTTGGCATATATAAATGGTCATGCTATGATGCCGGAGCGTAAGGAATTACGAGAACGTCTAGATACTTGGAAATTGAGTGATAACAAAACGAATCACAAAGCCACAAGTCTACTGATACTCGGTATAGATAGTATATCTCGGATTAACTTAATACGTGCCATGCCTAAGACTGCCCAATATCTATACGACAATGAATGGTTCGAAATGAGCGGCTATAATAAGGTTAGTTCTACATTATATTATAAGGTTACTTTATATATTAAAAATATGATATAATATCGTGTTTTTGATGTAGATGGATGATAATACTTTTCCTAATTTAATGGCTGTGTTAACGGGGCAAAACAAGGCGAATGCCTCTCGTAAATGTGCGCCTACAAAATTATATGGCCTGAACAATTGCAGTTTAATTTGGAATACATTTCGAGATCATGGTTATGTTACAGCCTATGCAGAAGATGAAACATCTATAAATACATTTAATTATCTAAAATTAGGTTTTGTTGATCCTCCAGTAGATTTTTATTTAAGACCATTTCTGCTCAGTGCAGAAAAAAACTTACGCATACAACGAAAATCTAATCTTATCTATTGTTTGGGCCATCAGCATTCAGCTTCATTTGTTTACGACTATGCGATTGAGTTAGCAAAACGTTTTAAAAATGATCCATTTTTCGGGTTATTCTGGACCAATACATTTAGTCACAATGCTATAAGTGATCCTTCGTCCATGGATGGAAAAGTGGTGGAATATTTGGAAAAGTTTTCATCTTTGGGCACACTACAAAATACCATAATAATATTCTTCAGTGATCATGGTATGCGATTTGGGCCAACAAGGAAAACGCTTTCAGGTCATCTGGAGGAACGTTTACCGTTTCTGTTTTTATGGCTGCCACAACATCTAAAACAAAAACATCCAGAGTTTGTGAATGCACTTAGTGTTAATAAGAATCGTTTAACAAACCCTTACGATCTTCATATGACTTTAAAGAATGTGCTCTCCATGAGTGGACGTGTAGATAACAAAGAATTACTGTCACCTGCAGAAGATTGTCCTCGGTGCCAATCTCTTTTAGCACCAGTACCGCACAATCGTTCTTGTGATGAAATAGCAATTGAAGATCATTGGTGTACTTGTATACCATATCAAAGTATTTACAAAAACTCCAAAACTGTGCTAAAATTAGCTAAATCCACTGTTTCGTATATAAATAATTATGTGTCCAGTTTTCGGAATGGTTCATTCGCGAGTATGTGCTTACCGTTAAAGTTCGGCAATGTTGAAAATGCATATCGTGCCCAGCAGGGAGCGTCATTTGATAGTGGCAATAGCTCTGAAGAAACGTATCGCATTATATTTTATACAAAACCGAATAAGGCGTTATTTGAAGCTACTGTACGCTATAACCCATATACTGAACATTTTGCGGTGACTGGAGAAATAAGCCGGCTTAACTCCTACAGCTCTGATTCTGAGTGTGTAGAGGATGGAGGTGCCAAAAAATATTGCTCATGTCGAAAGAAAAAGTTTTTCTAGCACAAAGTACCGAGAGTTCATCAACAAAAATCAGTACAGCACAAAAATAACGCACCAAAAGACCAAAAATATATGACGACATAACAATCGCAAGTACAATGTAGGCTTATTTCCTATATATTTTCCTATATAAATAGATATCTGTAATAAACAATCTCGACCAATTTCTAGATTTCGTAAATACTAGCTTAGTGATCTTTTATTAGTTGCACTAAAAAATTTGTGCCAAAAATTGTTGTGTAAAAATTTTTGAATCTCTGACTGATTAACGCACAGAATAGTTTAAAAATTTTATTCATATTGAGGGTGTACAATACATAGTTTGAAAAGTATACATAAGCATTTTGTGTAAAAAGTATCCGAAATTTATAAAACAACTCGTCTTGAGAAAGTTATTGGCAAAAAACTCAACAAAGTACTGTACTCACTTAATTTGGCATCGCAAGATTTTTCTCTGTTCCTAAGCCTAAAGCCTAATAATTTCGAAGTAACCGTATTGAGCACATAGTGAAAGAAGACGAAGACAACAAATAATCAGTTGTCTAGTTTAAATCTAATAATGTCTAGTCCGAATATATTTTCAATTAATCAACCTAGTTGATCAATCAATCCAGTGGATCGCTCAACATTGTTGCTTAATCAACCCAGTAGAACAGTCAATAAGCAATCAACCTAGTTGATTAATAGATCTAGTTAATCGATCAATCTAATTTATTATTAAACTTAGTTGATGATTTCTTTCCAGGTTCTTTTCCGGATACTTTTTACTCAAAACATATGTATAAGTACTTAAATTTATTATCTTAAACTTTGCCCCCTTTAAAGGGAAGTGAGAAATAAGATGTAAGCGTCAAATTGCGTAAAAAGTCTGCATATGAAATAATAACAAATTAATTTAAAAATGTATTAAGTGAATAGCACTTTATTGATTGTGTGTAATACACAAAAGTAATGCGGAATGCAATTTGTCTATTTATAAATAATCCAAACTTTTCACTTTTTAAGCCATTATCATTAAGTAGGGTAAGCAATTTCGATTTTCTATTTGTATTTAATGATTCGTAATGATTCATATTTAGCTTTGTGAGTGTATTTATTTCTTCAATACAACCTATTATTTATACGACGAATACTACTTTATTAATAAGACCTTTTATTCATAACTTGCTTTAAGCTATTACTAGATGTACTAATATTTATAAAATATTAGAGATGTGGCACGATCCACATCAACACATGTAAATATGTATATCGTAAAATTTTATAACCATGCCAAATAGTTTATATTTTTAATAGGATATTCTTAAAGTAATTATGTACATAGGTTTTTTTATAGTGAAATTCATATATAAACGCTTCATTTAAATTAAAAATAAATAAATTTATTTCAATATGAAATATGCATTTTACATGTTTAGCTAATATTTTTGCCTTTCATTCTTATGTATTTTATAATCTGTGATTTTAAGTAATTTTAATTAATAAAAATAAATAATAAAATAAAAAAAAAATAACAATAAACATATAAATTGATGTTAATATTAGTCAGGTAATTTGTAAAATTTGATTACTTTTTCAGATATTGTTTTAAATTAAACTGTTGTAAGTTACATTTAAATATTTGAAATAGTTTTCGTAATGCATCTTTCTTGGACATTGCTTTTATTTCATCTTGATTGTCGTATTTTGCTTCGATTTCTATACCGTCATTTTTATAAGCTACTATATTGACAATAGCTTTTAGATTAACTGCAAAGTTATTGTTTTGACTTCGTTCCTGATATAGTTTATCGGTTTGTTGCATTTGAGTATCGAAATAAGTTTCATTATTAAAACATTGATAAGAGCGCCCAGACCATAGGTCAACAGTACCGCTTATTAACAGATGTGTGGTTTCTAGAGAGTCTTCTGCAAGTTCTTCAGATCCTGATACTCTTACTACATGCAACTTGAATATTTCTACAAATATCGCCATTATAGCAGCGGTATATTCATTAACCCATGTATTATAAATTTCATGGGCATTTGTAGTTTTCGTATAATCAGCTAAAAACCGTAGCTCAGCACGTGAAGGCTTAATGTTGTATTTAAGAATTGTAGGTTTGGTGAAAGTCATGACCATCTGGTTGGTTACAGTTTTAACAACGTTGCATATTAAAGCTTCAAGCATTTGTGCATCGTTTGTTCGAGCGCGAATACATGTAGTGTGAGCGTAACTTATGCAGTCTTTTAAAAATTTCAAATATTGAAAGGAAACATTACTTGTAATATTCCGATTTAAACAGAATGGATCCTGCACTATAACGGAGCGGTCAACCTATATGAAAAATGTATTTATTATTACGAAAACAAACGAAAACGAATTTTCTAAATAGTTTATTTTAAAACCATTTCTACTCACCTGTAAGGGATACACCTTACTGCTTATTTCAGATAGTTTATTTAATTGTTCTGTTAATTGGGTATATTTAAATTTGCCTTCCTTGAATGCATCCAAGTCTATTGGTGTGCCTAGATACGGTGCAATAATGTTCTTCGTGAAGTCAAATTCGTTATAAAATGAGAAGAACCCTTTGATTAGTTCAATGGTAGTTACATTGGTGGGTAATTTGCGGAAACAGTTTTTATCATAAGCATAATTGACGCCTTCAACATAAACTGGATTTATCGCATTTTGTAATTTACTTAATGGCGGGAATAAAGCCTCTCCATTTAGATCCGGATATGGCTGTTGCAGATAGAACAATGCAAGTATAATAAGGGAATAACTAGTCCAGTAACCCGTACGAACAATTTTCGAGTTCTTAGCCCAAAATTTAACGAAAAGCACAAATTTATATAAACGATTATCAGTTTTGAGTACATCTCTTAGGAATTGTGTGTTATACAAACTGTTGGGCGCCGATATATTAATATCGATACTAAAGCCCGTAACTGTATGTTTACATTTCACTATCGGTACTCTGGCTGAACGTAAAGCGTAAACATCGGAAAACTTCTCGCTTCTCCGTATTAAAGAATTCAATTTATTAAAATAATACATTTGTTTTGTCTTGACAATTTCTCCCAGATTTATATGTATGTCTATGTCGCAATCTATTAAATACTGAAAATATATTAAACACATATAAATGCATATATATAATATACCTTTTAAGGCTAAACCTGTAGCGACGGAACCAAATAAATCAACAACGAAATAATCGAATTTTGTTTTTAATTCATTCATAACATCATTTTTGATCCGTTCGTTTACTATACTTAAATTTTCGCTATTCAAACAAACCAATTTAAAAATACTATTTAATTCTTCTCCTTTCACGGAATTCTTAAGGGCTGCGGATATTTCGGAGTGAAACTCTACAACGCTGGAATCCGTGATTGCATTTGATAGACGATTTATTTGTCTATTGACAGCTTTGGGAATTTTTCGTGTATGTGCGTATGTTTCATGCTCCAAACAACTTTGGAAATCCGAAAATTTCTTTTTGCATATTGTACATGTTGTGAATTTATTACTGATGGATGCATTGCCGTCTTTCACCGCGTCCTCCTTGTTTGTTATATCGTCTTCCTCCATTACAAAGCGAATAAAGTCCTTGGCATTTAATGCTCATAAAATAACACAAAATATTAAATGGAAATGAAAAATAGACACACATCACATTATACGTATAGTAAACGCTCTACGAACCTCGACTCAATATTATTTAATGTCATTTATGATTCGTTTTGATCATTTATTAATCGTTACACGGTACAACTACTTTTGTTTTGGCTGTTGCACGTTCAGTGTAGTATACGAATCAGCATTCACTGCATGTGAAACTCATGCATAAATGCTTAACATAAGTGTTAATAATTTGTATGAAATAAAAATATTTAACACATTTAAATTATTTAATGCATTTAGCCGATTCGAACTGTCAAATCAGTTGTTAATTCAATTTTATGTAGTTTTTCCATCTGGTTTTAGCATTTTGGAAATTTAGCACTTTTTAGCACTTTAAATAAAATTATAAAGGATTTACGATTATTACGTTTTTCTCTACATTGCGTAAAAATATCAGAACTTAAAGCAAATTAATTGTAATTGTATAATAGCATACTTAGACCTAATGTTATTTTATATGAGATTGCAAATTCTGCAAAAAAGTTTTTATGCGGCATTTACACTGGCCTCAAAGCAAATGATTCATTCTTGCTTACAAAATTTCAGGCGCGATTGATACGGCATATACACTGGCAGAAAATGGCTCATTTTGGTCAAAAATCGAAAATGAGAAGCGAATGGCTCATTCCTAAATAAAAAATTTTAAGCGCAAGTGCGATCCATTTCATCACATCCTGTATGAATGCGTCTCAACGACGTTCGAATGCGTTCCAAATATGTTCTAAATGCAAAGGAATACATTGAACATACCCTAAATAAAAGCTCTTCATGTCATTTTGACAGTTTGAGAAAGCTGTTTTTCACATATTTACAAAAAAGGTAAACAAATGTTTGGTGATCGTATTTTCTTGAAAACGATGCATCTCTTTTTAGAACTTCTATTTCCCAAAAAGTATTTATCGAAGCTAAAAATATGTTTCCAGTATATATTTTAAGGTTTGAATGTATATTTAACTTTCATGCAACATTTTTTTGGCACAGGCCAAATATTAAATCAACAATCAAGTTGAAAAATCAGCTGTTTGGAATGAGAACAAACGAATTACAACGAATGTAAACAGTTTCAAATGGCTCATTCAAAATGTTTGATGAAATATTAAAAAATTGATTAATTTATTGAAATTGATTTGAATTTTGAATATATTTGCTGTAGGGGTATTTTGTGACTTGCTTTTTACTCACAGTTGTGAGTAATTAATGAGTATTGAGTGTTATTGCAATAAATCTGGATGATTGTGTCAATTATTAGCACAAATCTATTGGCAAGAATGCTATTAGTTTATTTGTCTATAATTCTTTCAAATTAACTCGTGTTGATAACTTTTAGAATGTAATTTATCTAATATTAAATCTTTCTCATAATCTTTCAGGTTCATTTACTATTCATTAATTTGTTTTGAATCATGACCTGTTATTCTATATAATTCCTAACTCAGTTATTCATCTTGTTAGTGAATTAACCATATCCTTTCTGATTTCAATCTACTACCAAGGTTATTACTACTCAGGGATATCTGTATTTTATCAAGTGAGTTTTCAAGTGAAGTATGAATTTAAGAAGAATAAATTTTTTTCAAATTTTATTTTTTTCACCATTACCATATTTATAGCATACAAATATAATTACAAGTCTATGTATAATATATATATTAAGATAAATTTGTTGAAAGTGGCGAATCTAACCACGTTTTGCTCTACCGCTATTTAAACTTCTTGCACGATTTCCTCTACCGCCCGCACTTTTTGCTCTTCTTGCTGGTTGAGCTCTTCTATTATTATTTTGACGTCTAGCTGGTTGTGGTCGCCTACTCGGTGTACTTCTTGCAGGTTTCCGTGCAGGAGTTTGTGCTCTGCGGGCTGGTGCTGGTCTGGCAGCAGGTTTACGTGCTTGTTGTGCTGGTCTTTTGGTTGCTCCATTATTTCTTTTTCCACCTTGATTACGTCTTACACGTCGTCTACTGGGCTTGGGTTGTGGTATAGGTGCTCGTGTTGTAGTTTCTGGTGCTGCAATCGGAACGATATCACCTTCGTTTGATGAACCAGACCCTGAACCAGACCCTGAACCAGATATATTATCGTAAGGCAGATCACCACCATTTTCATTTCCACCAACTTCAATGCCCCCACTATTATTACCAGGATTATCGCCTCCAGTGTTGGGTAAATTACTTCCATTATCAACTTGATCGTCAACATTACCTCCATCATTATTATCTCCAACAGCACCATCGCCAGCACCAGCAGCAGCACCAGAGTCAGACCCAGCACTGTTATCTGCACCAGCACTATCACCATTACCAGCACCTGCTCCGTCACCTACAACAGCGCCGTTATCAACATTAACACTATCTTTAGCTGCACCGCCACCTACGCCCACATCACCATTTCCGTTTTGATCCGCAACTGGTAAATCATTATAATCAGAATAATAACCATTACCAATAACTTCATTTTTCTGCTCTTGGGCCAGAGTTTGCACTGAGCATACCGCCAATACGGCAAGTAGAATTATAAACGATTTCATTTCTTTGCGAATCGAGAGTTCCGAACTGCTTTCTAAACTATTTCTAAAACTCGCCATATTTGGTATTTATATCAATTGAACTTGTCGTTACGCCACATTCTTTGTCAGTTCTTTTAAATACCGAATATTCCATAAATATAATTAAAATTATTTAAAAAAATATTTATTTAAAGACAACAAGTCTAAATTCAATTTGTATTTTTCTATTTATTCAGCAGTTAAATTATTTAATTAAAGTTGATTTGTTGTCTGTTAGAAGAAAATTCCTAATTAGGTAAAAATCGGAAGCTCTGTTTTTGAAAATATTCAAGACAAAGTTATGTATAATTATACTATATATGTTTATTTTAATTAATAAATAATATTTTTTCATAAATTCTTATTTTGAGGAATTAATGAATTCAATAAACTTTTCAACTTTCACAATTTAAGTCCATTTCGGCATTGAAATTATAATATTTTTCAAAATGCTACAAAGCTAATTAAACAAATATAAACTTAATTTATCATTATTTGACTAATCTACAATATTGAATTAAAGACTTTTTAAGTATTTCCGAAACATGTGACCTTTTGTTGATCCAAGGTTTCATCAGAAGATAATATTGTTGTATGCTTTTTTCTCGGTATATATCTTCTATTCTCTGAGACTTTCATTTTTAATTTTTAGAACTAGAAATATGTCTGATTCAGAGTGTGTACGGAATTGGTACAGAATGATTGCACATTATCGGAAATACAGCAAGAGGTTTTGGATGATATTATTTAAGCTGAATTAACTTCATACCAACATTGACTTTTTAATCCGAGTATTCTTGAATAGGCATTTTTTTCGGAGTTCTATTTAAGGAGAAGTTGATTTTTTAAACACATGGTATCTTGTCTTCAAGCTTCTAGAAGAAGTCAGCTCTTTTAAAATACGGTATTACTTCTACTGAGTTCTATTCAAGGAGAGCTTAATTCGTTTAGCGATTGGTACCTTGTTTTCCAAGTTCGTTCTTTCAACATACGAGAAATGAGTTCTTTCAACATACGATATTACTTTCTCTGAGTTCCGTTCAAGGAGAAGTTAATTTATTTCATATGTTGCCTTGTTAAATCTTTCAGCGTATGGTATTATCTTTCATTTAAAAATTTTGATTTCATTATTAACTGAAACAAGTGCAAGTTTGCTGTTTTACAGTCCTTTAATTTAACAGATTAGAATTTAAGCATATACATTAAGACCGAAAAGTTTTCGGAAATTCTCATTTAAAATTCGCGCGCTGTATATTTTTCGATATTTTAAGTTTATGTAGTTTGGCAGCACTGTCCTTAATTACTATGCCAAAAATGAGCGCGATCTGTCAGACAGTTCGTTTTCGGCAGCTGTTGAAACCAGTTCACCTCAGTAGTGCGTTGCGAAAAAAACAATGGAAAAAAATATTGAACAAAGAGTTTGCATCAAATTTTGTGTTTCGAACGAATTTCGTGTGCAGAATCGTTGCGAATGCTACAAAAGGCTTATGGGGAATCAGTTTTATCGAAAACTCAAGTTTATGAGTGGTACAAAGCCTTTCAGGACGGTCGTAAGACCGTCGAAGACATTTCGCAACGCACTACTGAGGTGAACTGGTTTCAACAGCTGCCGTAAACGAACTGTCTGACAGATCGCGCTCATTTTTGGCATAGTAATTAAGGACAGTGCTGCCAAACTACATAAACTTAAAATATCGAAAAATATACAGCGCGCGAATTTTAAATGAGAATTTCCGAAAACTTTTCAGTCTTAATGTAGGATAATAATTAGATTATAGAATAGGAAAGTCTAAATACAAGATACTAATGTTGATATGGACTGTTATGGATTTTTACATTGGTACTTTTTCTAGTTTCAACATCTGTAGCGTATACCGTGACAGCTTTCAGCTTGATTTTATAGGAGACAGATGGTCAATATGGACAGATAAACTATTAAAACTACAAATACAATTTATACTATTGTGATGGTAATTTAATCCTTTAGGAACTTCAAAATTTCAAAATATCACCTAACATTATATGCAATTTATAATATTGTAAATGATAATGGTGACTTAACCCTTTAGGAACTTCAAAATTTCAAAACATTACCTACCATCATAGTTAATATGGTAGGGCAAAAATCACAGATATGTATTCAATAAAATAATTATTCAATAAAATAGCTGATCATCCCAGCAATTCCTGAGATACAAGTGACGAAAGGAAGATTTGCTGAGATCGGTTCTTTCATGCTCTAAACAAAAGAGGAATTTACTATAAAAGTGATGTAAATTGTTTGGTTACCGAGTATCGTTCTAATGAGTCACACCCAGAGGAAAGAATAAACGTGCTAGGTGTAACCAATTTCATCAAATTATTATTCAGTTAAAACATCGTTTCAGGGTACCTGTTTTAATTTCATTGACGGTATTAATTCCTGAAGGAAGCTGGAGACAATACCGGAAAAGTGTTACGATAACTGAAAAAAATTATATGAGTTGCATCTTATGAGGCCTATTCCAAGAATATTTATGAATCACAGAATGATGACGCTGTTATGGGCGCTTACAAGAGAAAAGTTTTCTGTAAGACCTTTGGTCCTCTACGAATTGACAACGACTACGGTATCCGAATGAATAACAAGCCTTATGAACTTTATCACAACATTGATATGAATCAGGGAATTGCCATCCATTAAGCGTGAGAATGTATGACGATGCTCCAGAACATGATTGAAGTTGCAGTTGAAGAAATAAGGCATAGAGGTAGATCATGTCTCCGGAGAAGTGATCAAGTTAAGAGAACACTAATCATGTTTAAAGGTGTTGCGTCAGGCGGAAACTCGTTAAACGGATGTTATGGACAATTAATTATGAAAATGAGGTTGTAAATGGTTGTTGTTGTTGATATGATTGTCACCTCTTTTATTGCACCGATCTTGCGGTCGTTGAAACTTTGACGATTGTGGTAGGTAATTAGCTTTGGTATGTAGACTGGCAGTACTTATAATCAACAACAATAGCTAGTTTCATATAATAATTCCTGCAGATTTTTGAACATGAGAAATATGGTATGTACAATTACCTTTATTGAAATAAATATATTATTTGGGACAATATTTGAAAATGGTTTAGGTATAGTTATCGTAACTTAAGCTGTGCATGATCATACTTATATATACTTTATTGACTTTAAGTCGCAGAATCTCCATATATTGATATTAACTCTTTAGATTTGGGATTCTATTTTTTCTTAAACAGTCTTAAAGGCGTGACTTTGTTTCTTTCTCTAAATGTTGATTACTCGTATTACCTGAAAAAATATTATTCAAGACGCCAGATGTAAAGTATATGTAAACACTCACATACAAGTTATAGTTTTGGTGTTTTGATATATTACATAATCTTAAACATATTTTTCAAAATAAATTGTTAGACTTTAACTCGTTGTCTATTTAAATATTTAATATAAAGAAAACATATTTTATTTTTGCTTGTTTTATTTATAATTATTTATTTAATTCTTGAATTTACAAAGAAACTGCACAATGGGTTTGGTATAAATAGAGCTAAAATTCTGATTAATTATATTAGTTATTCATTCAACTAAGGAATTGGAAGAACTGCGAACGGAGATTAAAAATGTTTAAACTGACACTTTTAATATTGGCGGTGGTAATTATGCAGGGTTTCGCTTATGGCGAGGAAATAGAAGATTATGATGATGATTATGCATATTCTTATGATGATTATGAAACTGATGCGGAATTTGATAAAGATCCATCTGATGAAAATGGCAATCCCGGTAATAACAATGTGGCACAGGTTGAAAATCAGCAGTCTGCAGTGCCAATTGATGATAATTATTCAAATGATGCGATTGAGAGTCCAGAACCATCAAGTCAAGCTGCAAGTACACCTCCACAAGTTGCTGCCCAGCCTACGAATCAAAATCCAAAACCATCCAGTCCAGTTTCGAATACATCTCCTGTAGCTGCATCCAAACCTGCACCACCATCACCCAATAAACCTAGCAATACGCCTGCTTCCAAAAAGCAAGAAGTGAAAAAACCATCAAAAAAACCAGCAACAAAAAAAACCCGAACAACTAAGAAGAAAGCTACCATCAAGAAACCTACAAAGAAACAAGTCAAAGTAGTAAAGCCAAAAAACAATAGAAAACAAGGCTAATCGGAATTTGACGTCAACTAATATTTTTTTACACCTATCTAAATAAACTTTTTAAATTTTTAGTATTTGAACAACTAATTTCTTTTTTACGCATTAGACCCTAAAGCAAATTATTATTTCAATTTCTGCAAATAATAGCACATTTTAATAAAATATTTTTAGATTCATATGAGTTTCGGGTTTAAAAAAAGAACTTATGAATTTGTCTGACCCCTGTTTTTTATACACAAAAACAAAAAAAAAATACTACAACAATAATAAAATGTTTAAAGTTTTCATTTTGCTTCAAATCTTAAGAAAAACAAAACGGGCTAAGGACTATGGAAGTATGGCGGAGAGTATATATCGAATAATATTAGCTTACCTTCAATTACGAAACACTGCAAAAGTAACAATCTAAAATTTTTAGAAGTATTGTTAACACTCCATGATATGTATTAGAGCTCTTGTGAAAAAGGAATAGCAAGGATAAATAGGCAAGTTAAAGAGGTAGATGTAAGCCTTCTCGGCAATAAGCAATTTTCAAGAGGTTAAGAAGAATTCAAGGCAACAAGCAATTTTCAAGAGGTTGAGAAGACTTCAAGGCGCGCTAAAGAGGTAGCTGTAAGTGTTATCGGCAATAAGCAATTTTTAAGAGGTTAAGAAGAATTAAAGGCAATAAGCAATTTTCAAGAGGTTGAGAAGATTCAAGGCAATAAGCAATTTTCAAGAGGTTGAGAAGACTTCAAGGCACGCTAAACAGGTAGCTGTAAGTGTTCTCGGCAATAAGCAATTCCTAAGAGGTTGAGAAGACTTCAAGTTTTAAATATTATATATTTTTAATGTTAAAGTATTCTAAGTGTTTCTAGTTGTATAAAAGGTGCTCTTATGGAAACCATTAATTCATGTAATACAACTGTGTTCAGTAGCATATCCAGGGCGGATAAAGGGATAGATCATTCCTTTGCAATATAATCAGCAAATAATACACTAAAAAAAAACACTGTTCGAAGAATTTTTTTAACTATATCGCCCCTTTGGCATAATCCTGGCTACGCTATTGACTCTGTCTAAAACTTCGCTTATTATTATTAAAAAAAAGGTGAATAGAACAAAATATAAAAACAATTATAAGGTTTATCAATTTACAACTTACGTCCCAATAGATTTACTAAGTGACGTATTAAGAAAATTTGGCCGCTCCAAGTGAAGAGCCCGTTTTGGAATAATTTTTTCGTAAGTGTAATGAGCGATATTTCTGTTTTTTAAAAATGAATAGATAAAATATTTCATTTCTTGCAATAGACAAGATATAGTTATCATAAGAATTGAATCAGAGATCAGCAAAGATTAAATTTCTTATACTTCTGAATAATGAGGGGAGAAGCCGGTCTATCTTTATTTCTTTTATTTATTTATACCTAAATTTTCATTAATTAATAAAATAAAGTAAAATAAATGAAATTTATATATCAGAGCATATCTAAAGCTTCTGAGACAATGTATTACAATGGCTTTCAATATTTATTCCATCACAATAAATGATATTTTAGGTGCTTTGTTCGTAGACCCAGGCATGAGCGCTGGATACAAACGGTAGTTGGGATATCGTTGCGTAGTTCATATACATTCAATTCAGTTTACTTAGTCGATGAGGTAAGAATTCAAAATACTGATAATAATTTATAAGTTTGTCTAAATGCATAAGCACCTGAGCACCTGAGCACCTAAGCACCGAACTGAAGCCGTTCTATTGTAAATTCTAAATTAAGCGACTGATACGCGAAATATGCGCTAATAACATTTATTTTTAATGATACGAGTAAGTTCACTTAGTTCATTGTTTATGATAAACTGTAATGCTATATTCTTATAGAAGAATAATTAGAAAATTTATAATATTTCTTTCACATATTCATATTGATAAAGCCAACATTATCGACACTGAAACCTTATCAGTGGCCTGATAATATTTTGGGCTGATGCGTAAACACAATATTTGTAAAGAGTTAATGAGCGCTCAATGGCAGCAGTCGTCTGTAGTCGGTAGCCAAACTTAACAGGTGGACGGATACTCGCGATATTCGGTACTCGCAGGTATCCACGGGGAGTGACTTCTCGCCGAACAGTGAGCAAAAATACACTTGAACGCAGTAATTAAACGAACGTTAACTGAGCGAGACCTGCGCGTCGGCGAATTCCAATTTTCATTTAAGAAAAGGTTTTAAATTTTATCTACTAAATTGCTAAATTGCTAAATTAGTTCAATATTTAATCTATCTCGAAACGAACAAAAACAATTGCACGTATGGAGAGCAAAGTTTTATGTTAAAATAGTTTTGCTTTTATCGAAAGAAGAAATTTTTAACTCTTTTGTGCATTGATCGGAACGAATTTTCAGTTCGGCCTGACCAAAGATACAACGCGCGTCTCTCTAATTATTTTTGGATTTTGGATTTAGTGCGTCAATCAGAATTTTTTTTTGAATTCCTACATAAATTGGTTAAAATAATAAATATTAAGAAAGTGCAAAGCAAAAATATTATATCAACATGAACAGCGCTTACGGATATAACCGCCCGGGCACTATAAAAAACTACAGCTGTTTACGCAGAATAGCATTATGGGCTGGCGTTTTGGGTGCGGTAAGTAAAAACAAGATCCAACGTAGGACATAATTCTTCTATGTTTCAGTATATAGAAGAATTTCAAGTAGTGATATAAAATAATATGAATATATATTGTGCTTGCTGCTGACGTTCTCAGAAACCTTGCCTATTGGATTTAAAATTTGCCTTTCACTTTATTTACCCATATTTCGCTATCATTTTATTTTTCTAACATAATGAGCACTTTCATTGATATTCGTTATCACATTCCAAAGTCATGTGTAATTTTTTCCAATTACTGGTCCAATAAAAAAATATAATAATGAAATATTCACTTACAATATTGACACTACTTGGCTCTATATCAATAGAGTCACTTATCTAGCACATAGTCTACCTTGATCTAGTTACAACGTCCACCAGAGTTGGACAGAATAAAAAGTTTATCGATTTTTAAATTAAATAGTTTTTACACGTCCAAGATATTCTATGTACTGAGTATCTGTAGTAACAATTGATTAAATACAAGTCATTAAAATCAAGTACAGAGTTATATCCTGTATTACAAATTATTGTGAAATGTATTCAAGAAATCTCATTGGAGTCAGATTTTCATAAGCAAGAACGACTGATTCTTCACTATCTTCACTATGATAACAAGTACTGTCATCGTTATACTCAGCAGAGTCTAAGGACTAGCATTTATAGTTTTGATGGATATCTTGCGTACATGTTTCACATTTTCAAAGATACCGGACGTAGAGCTTACTACTCTGAAAATCGTTCCCGAAATTGTTGCCTTATTGGATGCGGCTAAGTTATTGTAAAATCTAAAAAATCAAACGCCAAAATTAAAGCACCAATCTTTAGCTATAAACTGACACTTATCAATAGATATCTGCATTTGAGTTAATACAGTTAATATTGGAATATGACAGTCATGTCGATTTCTGAGTTTTCTTATACTGAGAATTGAGAATTGTATGCATTCAAAAAAACTGATATAAATTTTGTTTAAGTTTAAAAACATTTCAAACCCCCTCATATTATTGTGTATATGGGTTATATTTGGTAAGGTTATATTAGGTTAGGGTGGGTTGGATTTAGTTAGGTTGGTGTCATCATTCTAAGGTTCATTTGAGTTCAAATAACGGATCGTCGTGATACCATGGAAAGGTTATATTATGTTTGACTTGATAAACATGACAATCTCAGTGAATAAAAATGAATGGATAAACGGCATTGGGGAATGAAGACTAATATTTGTGAAAATCGTATCAGAACTTAGCACTAGAAGAAAATGTTAAGACTAACACACTTATATTGTCCCAAGCAGTGATCTTATTATGATCTTAATGGAAAATTTCTTATCTCAATAAAAGATTTGTTATTTTTAGAGTATATAATTCGCCTCCAAGTCACTGAAGATCTATAACTTCGTTAGGATCTTTATACCGTACGTTACAATGAAGTACAGCAGGCTGTAGTGTCATTATTGAAATTTATTATAGAAGGAGAAAAAGAAAGTGACCGTGAGAAATATCGATTTACCGATATCTATTTGGCAGTCTCTCTAGCTAACATTAAACCAGTTTCTCACATTGTGAGCCGAACTTCACATATTGGAAGTTTTTGTGATCAATGCAGATCTATTAAAGAAATGGGCATTATTTTTAGATAAATATTGTCGAACCTATATAAATAAGGAATTTTGGTAATTGTTATGTAGTATCACTATCAGTATGGAGAGTGTTAAACTTTCGGGAAAGCCAAAGCTAACGTTTTTCCTTGTTTTCATTAAGTATTTTAGATCATTCTGTGATATGGTGTTGATAAGATAAAATTGTAATTTACGCATATATATTTTTATGATATGTGTTCAGCATTTTATTCTTAGTTTTTTGATCCGTGTCTTCATTTACTAACGATAGTCTGTTACGGCAGTTGGGAACAAGATTATGAAATGAGTGATTGAAATAGGTACATAGTATGTAAATAGGGATTGAAAGTATGATTATTCACTTTCATATCAGACTTGAAACTACGGAAAGTGGGTGCTGAATCATATTTGGGGTTTTATTTGTACTTGACTATGGTAGAATAATAGGCTATACTGTGAAAGTAATGTTATCGATTGATTAAAAGTGAATCACATTTGAATAAGTTAAGTACAATTGATATGAAAACTCTTCACCTTTCTCCTTAAAGGTACAAAAAAAGTTCTAATAAAATCATGACTTGTACAAAATAAATTCAGTTTATTCGTATGATATATCACATGAATGACCATCTTAAAAATTATTTGAGTATTTTAGAAATCATGAATATATTTTCATTCACTTTGTGTAACCATAATTAATTATTATTAATTATATCTCGTATTGCAAGATATCAGCAAATCTCTTCAGCTTGATTAGCTTAACATATATATTTTTGCCTATCTTCTACTTCATTTTAGTTATCCAATATCTGAAGATGAAGAGATGTAGGATCATGTTTTGCTTTATATACTCTATTTTCGTATAATTTGATTGGTTAAAGAATAATAATTTTGAAATAAAATGAAACAAAATTTTGAAGTAATGACCGACAGTGACTTGAAGCGTGAGGTCTACTTAACCTACTGCTTTATATAATTTAGAGCCCGTAATACCTATAACGCGACTTTTATGCTCGATGATATGAATGAAATCGACTAAAGACAACAGCATGAAGTTTTTATATTTCAAATCAACATACGTCTAATACGGAAAATCCAATATATTATATATAGCAAGATTATTTCATTATTTTTACACGTAAATAGCTATCATTTTAAGTCTATATGGGGCAGTCTGTTAATTTAGTATAATAATTTTTGTTTTGCCAATAAGTCATTTTATTTTATAACATGGTCTTCTTTTAACTAGATACTTTATACCACCCTTTAACTTATTTTATCCGTTAAAATATAAACTCCTTTATCTTGATACATTTAGTTCAGCTTTATTCCAATTATATTTATTCCTTTCAAATGATTGGTTTCTTCAAGGTATCCTTCTTAACCCATATCTCTTACCGCTGAGTTATTTCTTCGCGTTCACAAGCTGGAAATATTTGTAGGAGATTTCATCTGGAGAATATGCTTAGTGGGGTATCAGTTCATTGTTCAGGTTATGAATCTTCGCCATAGCGACTGCTCACGTGTCCCCGCCCATAGTCTTGATAGGAGAGCAGTTTTTATTTGTCACATGAAGACGTTTATGCTTCGAATCGACGTCGTGTCTAGATCGGAATAATATTGAAATGTTAAAACAGTGTTATTTTTAAAGGTTATCGTCCTAATAACTTTTTCATGTCCTAATGTTCATATACTAGAGTGCTTAGCTCAGTAAAGATGGGCAAATTTTCACGGACCTTCACTCGTCGATCGTTTAGCACCTTGCCATGGGTTTTTTACGATTTCTGGTGTTCAACGTTATTTGTGCTGGCACGACCACAATGGAATTCAGTACTCATTTCTGAACGATTAAACTTAATGGTGGCAAGTCCATCGTATTTATTAAGCCATTCTTGATTTCGGTGATGGTTTATTTATGCTTCAAATAATGCTTGATGACCATACAAAATTTCTTTTTTTCATTTTCGTTCAAACCTACGAAGTTATCTGGTTTTAATGGCCGTCAAATACAAATTATATGACGCAGCTTGCTCAAAATTTTACGGTAGTTGATAGGACCAATATTGTATTCAAACTGCCCCCGTATACGAGTATTAGCTATTATTAAGTATTAAATATATTGTTACCGATAATTTGATTTTTCAACAAATAATACTATTTAATGGAATAAATTTAACTTTTAAAATTAAATATTGAGTTTCTGTTACAACGAAATCTGACTTTTGTTGACCTGACCTGATTGAAGGGATTTACAAGACCTGATAAAAATCCCCTCAAATGTGAACCTTAAGCAATGCGAAATATAATCGCCATCAGCTCCTTAAATTTATTTTTGTCAAAAAATAATCAATTAAAAAAAAAAAATTGCAAAAACTATTTTGTAATTTTTTAATTTGGCTCGGTACGAAAGGGGTTATTTTATTATTATACATTATTATTTTATTGATAAACAAAAATATTGTTGTAATTTACTGATAAAATAGGGAATATCAATCAACTTCATTGAGTCACTTGACAAAAATCAACTTCGCGATACTAACAAATTTCATTTCTTATGCAATTAATTATTTTTTGTTTTTATTTATTAACGTAAAAATAAATAATTAAGTAACGCTGGACAGATATTAATTAATAGATGCGATACGAAGACTTGATATGATAAAGATTTGATTACTAAGAACTCAAAACTCGACATATTTGCACAGAGTATAGATTGTACCTGAAACTTCCGAATGGGAAATGAATGGAAATCCAAATTTCAGAGCCTTATCTGCTCTGAAAAGTTACAACAAGTTTTATGGGATTTTGTATATATAACTAATTTCCCAGAAATACTAATGACTTACGACTACGACTTAGTAACTTGTAAAATACTATTTGATTAATAAAGCAACTAATAGCTGCATGAATGCAATATTTCGGTATAACTTCTTGGGCCAAAATTAACTGAATATCTATTATCTTTTCTTCCTTACTAACATCTCCGATATTGACAATTCCGTGCCTGTTTTTAAACTTCTTAAGGATTTTTTCTTGTTTTCTTCTTCTAAATTCTGTTAATCTATTCTAAAATTTAAATCATGATTTTCTTCTACTACTTTTCTGTGGTAGAAAAGCTAATTTTCTACACCATGACTAAGAGTTCGTTCGAGGACTATAAAGTAGATTTAGTTTATATTATTTAGAAGTATAAATATTTATTAAGATTATATATATCCTCTTAATACACCATAAAAATTTATTACAGTGTTGCTCATATGTATCTATAGGTGTAGTCCGAATAGTTTTATTAACAAGCGAGAGAATGACATATAATGAGATGGAGGGAAGAAGTGAGAGAGAGAGAAAGGAGGGGATAATAAATTTAAAACCAGATTCATCTAAGAAAGCGATGGTGATATATTTTTTATAAGCGTATTTCAATTAGTATAATTTTTCTTGAACTCTTGGTGTGCGGAGGTTTTGGGGTCTACTAAAATTGTTTAAATATGCAAGATAAGATGAGTGGATCTTACACTCTGTATTTAAAAGAATCTGTAGTTGTTTTAACCTAAAACTGAACAATGAGTAGTTTTGAACAAGTAATTCTTATATTTCTATGTCATAGGGTCGCATGTGTTATAATAATGAAAATAGTTTACCATTGTTGTCCTAAGCCAATACTTTTAAGGATTAATTTAAAAAAAATTTACTTATTTTCTAATAGAGTGACAGTTTTGAACACATTTAATTAATTATAAGTTTATTAAACTTAAATTAGTTATTATTTATATTATTTTTTAAACTTTTAGATACAATCTATTGTCTGGATAGCTTTGACAATAACTGGAATTGTATCCTACAGCTGTCATATAACTGCTCCCGCTATGTCTACTACTTATGCGACCTTAATTCCAACAGTATTCATCCAGCTTTACTTCAGAAGTAGCGATTGTAGTCCAGTAGACTTTCCGGGATATGATCATACGATGTTGTTCAGTGTGGGCAAAGTGTTTGACGCAGAAGATATTTTAATATGGAACTGTGTGTACTTAGGACTTGCCGCTTGCTGGCTTATATCGTCGGTATTGTTAATAACAAGTAAGTTTACCTTCCAGATTATTTTTTCCATTATATTTCAACAAAATCAAAATTTTAAAATTTTAGATTTAAAGAAAGATAACATTAAGCACACGCTTTTCGTATTGTACACTTGGGTTCTCATAACTCTGGGCATTTGTTTAATGGATTTAGCATTGGGTATTATATTCGGAATTGATTACGATAAGTTCTATAGTGCCGCTACTGGTGAGTACTGAATATATATGATATGTATAACAATAGTAATAATATATTTTACGATATGTGGTGTATATATGGTATATATTATGCATTTTATTAATATGTTTCAGAATATGATGTGGACGTTATGAATGGCCAAACTGTGAACCCCATGGCTGCGCAGCTTATAGCTGGCATGGTTGTTTCCATATCTTTGATGATCATATCGTTCAAGGGTTTCGTACTTTGGATTATTAATGTTGGTTTGATGACGTATCTGCTCATGCGTGCTGCATGCATTGTCAGAGATAAGGACGGAAATGTAAGTTCCAAGAAGTAACAAAGAAACTGGTGATTAGGTTAAATTGTTTTATTTTGAAATATAAGTTCGGAAGTATTTACTATTGTTAAATTGTATGCATTGTTAGCACTGGTAAAAGATATTTATTATGTCTTTTATAATACCTTTATTTACTGAATGAGTAAAAGATAATTTTCGCAATTTTATAAGTACTTGTGGTGATAAGAAATTCAAAGTAAGACTAACGCATAATAAAAATGATATGTGAAATCAGATTAAATTAAAGTCGTTAATATTTTATTTGTAGCAGCGGACATTACTCATTTGTTACGAATTTAATTTACTTAATATGAAAAGAATGTTATTTTTTTTTTAATAGAGAATAATTTTAATTTACGTTCTTTTTCTAGGATACCTTATTCAATCCCCGAAAGGAGTCTGATGACATCTTAGCGACACGAACAACTATAAACGCTTATGAGGAAAAAACTCCGTAAGTTCAAAAAAAGTAAAAATATTTAAAAATTTAATAAATTCACTGAAACTCATAAGTATTCTATCGAATATGTGTAGCAGTATATTTTTCTATTGCTGTATTATTATTAATAGAAGACATCAATAGTATACTGTGAGGCTTGATTAGAGGGCATTGGTTAAACATTACATTATCTTTTGTTTCAAGGCTCAGAGCTGGTTGAAGTTACTTAACAGTTCTCTGACAATTGCATGATATGAGCAGATAAGATCAGAGGGCATTTCCTTCAAAATTTAATAGAATCTGTTGCTATTGTCAGCCATATTATTAACCAGTAACTCCAGCAAAAAGTAGTAGATGGAAATTAGATGTTTTGAATAACCAGGCAACCTGCCGTTCTTATTGGAACATTTGTCAGATGAGATGGGGTTTCTTATGGGTTGCCCTAATCTGCAATACCATCTCAACAAGACTTAACTGTCTGATATGACATATTGCTGTTTCTATTTTCTGTCTCATATATAACGTGACTACACGGCTTCGCGCTGTGCTAGGAGAAGGAGTCTGAATCATCGATCATAAGGAATTTGACGATAATAAATAAAATTATTCTAGCCTTTGTAAGGTAGGCGGTAAATTTTCTGTTCTGTTCTTTTCAGTATAGATCTTGCTTGAAGAATGAAATATCTTTAAATGTCACTGTACCTTTTAGGGGGATAGCTTTTTCCACTTTCATTGAAATGAATTTTTTATTATTATTGTTTTTTGTACAAAAAAAAATTGTAAATATTCTAAAACTTATTAAATGTTGCATTTTCTTATATTACACTAGAGCTCCAGTACCTTACACCAATGAGGCATTTATACCTGATAACGTATCATCAGTAACATTGGAACTGAATCAGGAACCATTGACACGAGCAGCACGCATGTCAGTTGATGTTTCGTTACAAGAGCGCCGCTTCAGAAATATTGACTCATTCCAACAGTTCCCACCGCCAAGAAGTAATAACAGACCCGAGTCAATACATGAGAGCGCTGTGGTTACTGAAACAGTAACCGCTTTCCCAGCACCTGATTACTCACCACCAATGTCTCGATCCAATGGAATGCTACGCAATCAAAGATATCAGTAGAAAAGCAAATTAATTGCATGCTTTGTTATTATTTTTTTTTTTTTTGTTAAATTTTATATATAACAATATTTGTTTGTTTATTTTATTAATTTATTAATGTGCTATTATATACACGTGTGTATGCATCCAATATGTACTCTTGCCATATGAATTAAATTTGTTTTACTACAAAAAATGTGTTTTAATGGTTTTTTGTTTATTATTTATTTTTTCAAATTTGTTTATATAGAAGTCAGCTTATACCTCGTAATAAGTTTTTATTTTACAATATAATATTTGGGTTTGACTTAAGATTGGAATATTTTTCCATATAAGGATATGCATATATATTATGAATGACAGAAATCTTTTCGATTTTAATAACAATTCTGAATTATATATACAAATATAAATATTTACAAATAATAACATTTGTTTTTTCTTACGGAATCAGTGTTATTTTCGTTTATGACTTTGGAGATAGTAAAATTGATAAGGCCCACACACGGACTTTGTTAACTTTCACGCTCTTCGAAAGTAAAAATAAAAATAAAAATAATATCATTCAAATACGCAGTGCAAGAAATTAAAATTCTATTAATCACTCTAGGCACCTCTAAGACACTGACAAATTAATTATTTTACACTTTTCTAGTGTTAAGGTACGAATAATTATCTCTTAAGCACAGGGACTTATAGAGTGTAGTTACTAGTAAGGTCGTAATAATATGTCGATCCTTTCATTTATTTTCAAGCTCAAGTGCATTGGTAAAGTAAACAATAATATTAAAGTGCTACTTAAAGTTTTACTATTATGAGAACTTAATTGAAGAGGTTACCACTTCTCTACGTCTACTCATCGAAACATATAATTATGGACATGCTCAACCTTTTAAATTTTAATTAAATATTATGAGTCTTCTTTTTCTCCAAACAAAAGAAGAGTCATTCATTTTCTCCATAAAAAAGAAGACTCATTCTTTTTCTCCAAAAAAAAAGAATACTCATTCACTTCAATCCAAGGGCTACACTAACATATAAATTTTTAAGAACCTACAACCATTTCGAGCTTTTAAAAATATCTAAGACACTCTTTAATGAGAAGTTTTGCAATTATTCTATAAATTAAGTTACAAATCCACTTTAATGTATAGGAATATGTCATATATGTGTAATGAAGTTGCTTAAAATGTATAAATTACTACCTCCATTATTCTTCTTACTCTAAGTCCAAATAAAGTAAGGAAAATCGTATGAATGGGAGATTGATGTTTAAACAATAGCTAGAGTAATGGTTAACTAAGAAAGACTTTTACTAGAAAGTCTTGTAACTAAGAAAAAACAGTCCAAAAAATTCTATTATAAACCTTCCTGTATTTACTGCGTACTTATTCAGTTAACAGACATGTATCATCTTTAGTTGCGTTTAGTAGCCTTCATCAGCATGCCCAAACAAAAGACTTTGATCAAAAGTTTGCTGCCATCATTTGGTATATTGAAGGCTATACGTAGTAATCTTATAGTATAAGATGATGACCTGTACGATGGTTTTTATCAATAAGTATCGAATCAAAAACCTTTACAGATGCAGTATTTTTATTTGTTGACACAATATTATAAAACCGATTAAGTAACAGAGTATCACTAAAACCCCTCTCAAAATTACATCGATACTCCTTGCTAAGACGTACAGTATCATAGATCTTAATATCTTAATATCTCTTTTTATTAATTGTTATTAATTATATTATTATTTAGCGTGTGAGTTTTATTGCAAAGTAATAATGATTCTCTGTTGCTCCTGGAAGCTGATGACATTTGTTTGCATGTATGTTCTCAGTTCAAGTCTTTTGCAGTTTCGAAATGGAGTACTACAAAGTCTTCGCCAGATCTACGCCTGAAATTTTTAGGGATAAAATATATCTTATTACTCCAGCATAACTGTTGTCGTCCAAACGAGATCTGGATATAGTTATGTTGTTATGACAGTTTGTGTTTAACTGAAAATTTATTACTTTTGGGCGACGTCTATATGTTTTCTTGCTGAAACGCACACACAAATTTCGTTCCGAAGAGGTGGCAAGTTTCTTTAAGTTCCACATTCTCTCCTTTCTTCTTCTTTGCTCTTTTTTTAAATCTTTCCACGTAACATCGTATCCATTTGTGCAAGTTCCTTGTCATCCCTTGAAAATTTCAACAATCTATTATATATATAGTGGCGTGGGCTTCAAGACGGTTAAGAGACATATTTGTGAGCAGTAAGTATTTACTAAAAGAGCCATTTGATTTGCTTGTTTTTCTGAATCGGAAAAAGTTTTAATATTTATAACTTTAGATTTGGATGTATAAATGTCATAAAATTGAGTTAGTACTCAATATATCTTTTTCTTCCATAGTGTCACAACTCTTAGTGGATGAAAGTTTTCTTATCAATTTCTATAAATATCGACTAAACTATTGTTTTGAGTTAATTTTTTCGAATGTTAATATCACTTACGTCAATTTCCATTGTGGCTAACCAACCTCAATTTTGTTTGGAATTCAGACTCGTCCTTTAAAGATTTTGTTAACAGTGCAGTAAAGATGACTGATTATAATCAGCCATAATTATTAGTTAGCTAGCTTGGAACCAGTTTTTGAATATTTTCGAGTTTTTTCTATTTTGGTTAATTAAATAGAGAGGTTTCGAAAAATAATGCTTAAATACCACAGTTTCTAGTAAATTAAAAATAGTCGCTACTGTCATATTGACCTTAAGATCAAATTTAATGGTTAACTGTAATTTATAATATTTCACTTATTAATCAAATAACAATTTATTAAAATCATGAAACTTTTGATATATGAGGTCTGACTTAGTAAAAGACACAAAATTGAAATTCAACTAAATTGAATAATTGAAGCTGTTATTTCTAACTATCTTTATAACTATTAGAAACATATTAGAAACGGTTAATAATAACAGTTTAATCCTTAACAAATTATAATTTTATTAAACGGTATTAACCACAGTTATGTTATTTAATATGGCAACCAAATGAATATAATAAATTTTTGTGCACATATTATTATAAATTTTTATTTTAATGAATCTATAACTAGATTCTTTATAACTAATTTTATATTATTAAAATAGTTTTCTTGTGCTTAAACAAATTTAAGCATATTAACAAAAAGTAATTGGTTTCAAAAATACATCACTAACGTTTTAACATTTTTGTTATTGTTTTCTCCTTGACAGCCGACAAAATCTGCTACATTTGTACGCATCAAATAGCAAACAAAATCATCTGTTATCAGTATACTCCGCGGGAGGCATACGATTTTGATAACCTTTCTTTGGGATTTAGTGTAAGTGATAGCACAGCAGATAGCAATATTAAAATAATTTAAATATAAAAATATTTATCAGTACAACAAACAGCATCAGTACTCTGACGTTCTATTCGTGTCCGAACCACAAAGTGAGCAAGTGTGGCCGCTTTAGCAGAAAAGTTTGTTAAAAATGGTTTTCCTAGTAAAAATTGCACGTTTTGGTACTCAATTAAATGCCGCACGTCAAATTCGGTATTTCAGTCTAAACAAGTTTCTGGCTGCAGGTATATAATTAATTTGTACTCTTTAGAAATTACCTAAGCGTTTCAGCAACCTAAAAACTTAAACAGCTGTTGCTAACTTTACAGTGCTGCTGAAACTGTTCAAGTGTTTTATAACTTAAGTTACTAAAAATACTCAAAAATATTGCTAATAATATTTTAATAAATGTTTTAGAGCGCCGGTATACAAACAAACATGAATGGGTGGAAGTTGAAGGGGTAATTGGCACTGTTGGCATTTCCAACTATGCTCAGGAAGCGCTGGGGGATGTGGTCTTTGCGCAGCTACCAGATCCAGGCACAAGTCTAAAGCAAAATGATGAGTGTGGTGCTTTGGAAAGCGTAAAGGCTGCTAGTGAAGTCTACTCGCCCGTTAGTGGAAAAGTAACAGACAAAAATGGTGCAGTGGAAAATTCGCCAGCATTAGTAAACACCAGTTGTTATGATAAAGGTAAGTGTTTTACAATTTCGGTTCTTTGCGGAATTAAATGATGTGATATGGTATTTTTATTAGGTTGGTTATTCAAACTCACACTCAGCGATCCAGGAGAAGTAGAAAAACTTATGACCGAGGAACAATATTTGGCGTTCCTGAAATCCGACGACTAGTAGAAGTGCACTGTTTATTTCGAAAACTGTTGTCGTTTAGTTATTTTCGCAAATACTGGAAATTCAACGCAATTTATTTCCTTTTGGAAAGCATTTTTACTATTTAGCTGATAAGTTAAAAATATTTGAATATTTTTTTAGATGAGAATGTTGATTTTGGTCCCACGTTTTCTACTAGCTTTTGAAATGATTTAATAATTATAAAAAGTGCTAATGATTCCTGACCTTTGAAGGCTTTTTGTTGCTCTGAAATTTGTTTCATAGATAAGAATTAATTTAAAGCCTATTATTGTCTAGAAATATAAGTGTATTTATGAAATAAGTTTATTCTAATAAACTTATATTTGAAATTTTGTTACTATACAATAAAATTTTATATAAAAATAAATTTAATATATTTTTAATTAATTAAAATAAATAGCAACGTCTTTCTTTATCATTAAATTCTAAGAGTATTTTGTATTTTATTTTAATGTATATATTAAAAAAATAATATACAGATAACATGTATGCTTTTTTTATAGTCCGTTTTGTTTTATTTTTTGGATGTGTAGGACCAATAGTCATGGCTATATTAGTTCCAAATATTATTAGCATAGTTGGACATCTTGTCATATTTTCTTAGTTTCTTCTTTGACTCAAACCACCAGCGAAGGGAATTTCTTATTAGAAATTTAAGTATTAAATAAAATATAATGGATTCAGGGTTTAACATATAACCGATTTTATAAATGCTCGAAAGAAAGCATGATAAAATACTTATAAACAACAAATATACAAAAAATGTTCTCTCAAAATAATAAAATAATATAATTTTTCATATGAAGTGCATTGGAAATAACGAAGGGTGTTAACATTATATCTCTTTCATTATCTACTGAGAATCTATTTTAGAGAATTTAATGTATATATAAAAAATCATTAAAATTAAAATTTACTTTATGAAGCGAAACTTATAGGATTTTTAATATACAAAAAGTTAGATCATTGAATCTCTCATGAACTTCTTTGTAGATGAGTTTGAAGAATATAGTGAAGGGTCTCTCAGCTGAAACCTCATGAATTACTTCAAGTGAATTAGCTCTATATTTATGCTCGTATATATATGGGCCTTATATAATGTACTATAATGTTTATGGCCTTATAATGACATGTAAAAAATTTTAATTCTCTTATGAACTTTTCTAGAGATGAATTTAAAAAAATATAGGGACTATTTTCTCCAATTGAGTGTCTTAATTCACTTTTATCGCTTTAAACGCTACAGGCGAATTAGATCTATAATTATGCTTGAATATATTTGAGTCATAGTAACGAATTTCCGTTCTATAATGTTAATGGCCTTATACATTTATGAGAGAGCGTTAAGATAATTGAATCTCAAAAATAAAATATTTAACAAAAAAGAAGAGGTTAGGTTTTAGTTGGAAAGAAATTTGGCACTACAAAAGTATCAACACTCAACAATGGTCAATCGTTGGAGACAACGATTGACCATTGCGAAGATTTCATTGAGTTATCAGGCGGAATTATACTGTCTGCTAGTTTAATCATGACTCCATGTATTCTTATTATATCATATGCTGTCTTTCAGATGAAATTAATGAGATCCGATAAAAAAAAAATTAAAAAAATGATCTCTTGAACAATAAATGTAATTCTGTAGTTCTGCACAAACACATGAAAAGAGATTTTTGAAATTAGTTTTTTTTTTGTGGTAACAACTTTTCCACAATCCGAATTCTGGGGAATATGCTATCGTTGAACCATCTGTGCAGCAGTATAGTACCTAATTAGCACCCCAACACGGAAGGAGTTGGATACAATATATTTTTTCCATTTATAGAGAAAGATACATTAGATCTGCTCCACGAGCTACTCGTGGTGACTTTGAGTAACACTGCGTAAACGCACTTGCGTTTCACCAGCAAATTTTCGAATAAATGAGAACTTCTGAGAGAGCGTAACATCCCTGTCGACAGTTGAAAATGCTACACAGACTTCACTTGTTCATTTTATTTCAAGTGAAATATGTGTTGATGTGTGTATCAGCTGTTTTGGTTTGAATTTAAATTTTTGTATTGTTTATTTGCACGGCTCTGGTGTTGTCATCAGACTTATAAAGCTTTTCCATGAAAATCTGTGTGAAGAGAGAAATCTAGCACTTTATTTGTGTTACGCTCTCAGTTTGTACTCTACTTGTGTTTCATTTGACTTTTACTACGAGTAGCTCGTGGAATAGACCTATATTCTTGTGCAAACCTTAAAGAAAGACTTTTATTTCTCTAATAAATTATACGGTCTTTGGTCTTAATATATTTACACATACGGTCTTTGTAAGTATTTTTTGCAGCATAGTTTTTGGCGCATTCATGTATTTCGTGCATTATAAATTAATATTTTATGACAAAATAATTTTTACATTCAAAATTTCAATTTCAATTATTCTCCTGAAATATTTAAATAAAATCTGGATTCGAGAAGTTAATAATATTTATTAAAACAAAATCCATAAATAGTCATTTAATATTAAAAATTCAAATGAAGCATAAATGAAACGAAATTGCAAATTCGATTTCAAAACTCAGTCTTAGTCTATAAACTATTTTAATAAAATTAATTAAAGTTATTTTGTTAAATTGTGACAACTCATTGTTATTATACAGAAATTGAATTAAACTATTAAAAATGTCAGCAACATTAAATTTGTTAGTGCAATTCATGCTGGCAGAAAGCAGAAGGTTCAATGCCAAACGATTTGTTGTTATCAGTATCGCATGTTCGAGCTCAGAGCAGACCGCTTAGTCATTAGCAACAGTGGCGAAGTCATCACCACGATCGACTAAAGATAGATTAAAGTGCAATCTTCTAAGAAAAACTTAGAAAATTTGGACGTTTAAGCGTCCAAGCGTCGTCTGACGGACGAATGGTTACTTCGATAAGAAAGATCAACTTTTATTCTCGTGATTTGATTTTGGAAATTGCTAATTGTATTGATTGTAATTTTTACTTCTTGAGATAGAACCATATCACCTGATTTAAGAGCTGTGATATTAAATTTTTACTATTGCTTATCAGGCATTCACACGCGACTTGTAGTCATTCCCGTACGTTGAAGTGTTTCAGCTCCGAATGCATGTGTAATCGCTTTAGAACGAATATTTATAATAGTAAATCATTATCAAACTATGTGGACGAAATCAATACTGCACACTAAATAAATAATTCCAAATTAATTTCTTAATCGGTCATTGGTAATATTTAGTTTCGTATCGCAAAAATGTGCGTCACTGAAATTCATTGAACCCCAAAAATTGCTTAATAACACAAGTAATTGACGCTGAAGTGATATTAGTAAGAAAATATATCAGTTAATTATTAAAATCTTTTAATTTGATTTCTTATGAATAGAAAATGTACGGAATAAAAACATAAACTCAAACTTATTCTATTTCAATTATCACTGTTTTATTCCTTTAAAAAAATAAGCAAATATTTTCCTCCAGTCATGATGAAGATCAAGAAATGATCTGCCTAAATTTAAAAACATTTAGCCAGTGGACTATAACAAAATAGATTCGAAAAAGTGTTGTTGCTCTTTGTCCATCCAATCCGTCCCAAATAGCTCGACCTCGTCTTTGATCACCTTCGAACGCATACTGACAACTATGTATGACATACATTATGACTCTAATATGACATACATTATTTGTATGTCCAGCATTATGGATTGCTTGATTTATATGATTTTATGATTGATTTTACCCAAAGGGATGTGCTTAAAATTGAATAAATATGAACATTTTGCTTTGCCTAGTACAGCAACCATACAAACAACAATTTCAATTGCATGTTCTGATCTTACTTGACTTTACAGAACTGTATGGACTTCTATTATTGTCATACTATCAAAATATATAGCGTCAAAAAAATGTGGATTGTGTTGATTTGTTAAAGCAAATTGTTGTTGAGAATGCCAAAATGGTTCACTTCCGAAAACGCTCTAATAATTTAAGAGTGACTTGCGATATGTCGTAGCAATTATTATGTTTGGTCATTGGCATCTGTATATAGTCCCAGTACTAAAACGACCATATACCACACATGGATCTATTAGTGCTAATGGCATTTATAGAATTAAAAATCCATGTACAATATCGTATTAGTAGTCATTTTTACTAACTCAGCAAGTATTTTTTTTTACATATTTTAAAAAATATTTTCGCATTAGACCTTAATGAGTTTTGAAGGAAGACAAAGTATACCGTGGTTTAATATATAGTACAGTGCTATAAGAGCCTTCTTTATCCCCTAAAGATTCCTCTTAATATATATCGGATATTATATGTACATTGAACACAATGCTGGTTTTATTAAAACGAAGTAATGATCTTTGGGTCTAGAAGAGTGATATAATTTTATAAAAAATTTCTTAAAGAGGTTTTCAATAGCCTTCTTTATCGTCTAAAGATTCCTCTTAATATATATCGGATATTATATGTACATTGAACACAATGCTTGTTTTATTAAAATGAAGTAATGATCTTCGGGTCCAAAAGAGTGATATAATTTTATAAAAAATTTCTTAAAGAGGTTTTCAAAAACTAGTGAACTACTACAACAAAAATTATTTTTTATATTATTTTAATTAATTGAATTTTTGGCTTACCATACAACTGTTCTGAATATTGCCAAATACTCATCTTCAGTGGTCTTGGCATTATTTCTTGTCTTTAATTATTCTTAAATTATATTATTGAAACTGCAAGTACCATGGGTTGAACTCGTGCCCTGCTAATTTTGAAATTTAGAGTCAGCGTTCATTAACCAACTAACCCAAAGCCGTACTTGACTTTTATGTCCGGAATTGGCGTTGTTTGTTAATACTTTAGCAATACTCAAATCAGCTTTATGGTCAGTCAAAAAATCTATTTATGAAAATAATGCAAAAGAGGTTTTGTTGTTATAGTTCACTACTCTTAGAAACCTTTCAAATAAACACAATAGTTTCTATTAAGTAAAATAGTCACTACTGTCATAACTGACGTAAACTTACAATTATGAAGTAATTTAATTATTATAATAAGTTTGTTTCGAGTAAATTGATGGAAAATTGAGGAAAATAGTAAATTATGTCGGTATGGCAGCGAATGCTGATATTTACCAGAATTTCGAGTAGGGCAAATTAGATAAAAATTAGGTAAATTAGGTGCCAATGTTTTATATGTTTAATAAATTAATTTAAAAAGTTTTAACCAAAAATAATAAATAAGTGCAATAAATAAATAAATATATATTAACATAAGTGCAGTGCAAAAAATCCCTAGGAACTTTTAGTTTACTTTACCTCAATTTATTCGAACTCGCACACGGCCTAAACTACTTTGTCAAGAGCACACATTTCAAAAGGAATTACACAGTTCTTGTTACCATTACACAATTTTTAATTTTAATATGTGAAAAATCCTATATTTTAACACAAACCAAGTCATTTTTTCATAAAAATAAAACAAACATATGCATTATAAATAATATTTTTTACATTATATTTATATATAATTTCATAATTTTATAATAATAAAAATGTAAAAGCCATGACTAACCGTTTTTATTTTTTTTCATTCATGAAAACAATATAAATAAATGCCAACGAATAGGCGAAGGCGAGCGTTTCATAGAAATTTTCACTGAGTGTACGTACGTACCAACAACCAATTTGAGTATTTTGTGCTTTTTGTGTAAAGCATTGAGCAGCGCCGTGCGTCGACAGCTGAGCGAATGATAGGAAAAGAGATAAGATTGTGCGAAAATAATATTGTTTTTGTTTTTGTTCAAAGCAAAGGAAAAAGCATAAAAAGAGAAATTCGCAGCTTTGAGCTTTAAACAAATTTTTCGTTCGAACAGTGCGCGTAAAATATTCGAGCTATTACGACGTGTTTGTTCGTGGTGTTGTGTGGCCACTAGGAAGCAATTTTTTTAAATTTTTAAAAAATAATTTAGTGATATATTAAGAAAAATTGTAGTTCGGTTTCATTATTAAAAATTAATTCATAGTTAATTAAGATATTTAGCGAAAATGCCATCGGAAAAGTCGATTTACAATCCGAACCCAGCAATAAGTCGCAATGCCTATATATCGAGCATGGAAGAATACAGAAAATTCTATCAGGAATCCTTAGAGAAACCTGAAGAGTTCTGGTCGCGCGTTGCCAAACAATTCCATTGGGAGACACCAGCTGAACCAAATAAATTCTTGCAATATAATTTCAACATTTCGAAAGGCCCCATATCCATCAAATGGATGGAGGGTGCATCAACAAACATTTGCTATAATTTATTGGATCGCAATGTACGGAACGGACTAGGAGACACAATTGCTTATTACTGGTAAGAACAAACGCAAGTCAAGGATTTGCAAAGAAAATTTCTGCTTTAGTCCCTAAATAATTGTGGCAGCGCACAAGATTACAAGATTTCAATGACGCATTTAAGGATACGTTATCGATTTTTTTCTGTTACGAAACAGGAACAACAAGCAAAAAGAACAAAACGTTTTTGTTGCATTTGTAGCGCAAGCGAACTACATCTGAGTAGTGGAAAACATCTGATTCCGCAGATGCACGTTGGACAGAACGTGGGCTAGCAATGGTGTAGTGTGTAGGGTCGCAAGTGTGAAAGTATCCATAGCGCCTGTCTTTATGTGTTGTGCAAGGATACCGAGCTAAATAAATAATAAATAATAAATTACAAATAAAATACGTGAAGCCAATGTCAGAGCTTTCTTGACAAATTAAAAACAAAAAAAAAGAATCTATGGAAAGCTCGATACTTTATTGTCTGAAAATATTTCAAATCAAAGCTGTCACATCCTTACAGTGTCTTCGCATCGGTAAGGACGTGCTTCGGGCACACACAATTGTGTAAACAAATTGTTGTTCTTAATTTATGTGGTGTGAATCCCAAGAAAAAAAATATTTATTTAATGCGATTTTAATTAAATGTCCCCAGAGTACAATTTCACGCAATTTTTGCGTTGCCGCAGGAAGCAATATTTGAATTCTACGAGGAATCGTAGGAATTCTACGATTAGCTTAGGTCGGAGTGGTGGCCTTGTGTCCAAAGCCCATACGAGTACTCAATACGCCCACTCAAGGATTATTATGCAATTGATATGAGTGGAAATGTTGTTTAGGAAAAGTTTTGTAATTAATTTTTGTGTAAATAATTATTTATTAATTTAAATAAATTAATTATATTAATTAATAATAGTTTATTAGTGGAAACGAATATCAACACGCATAATTAACTAAATATTTGTATTATTATTATTGATATGGTTATTACATGAAAACAGTCTATTCACATATATTACACATGACATCCAGTTTTTTGTTGTATGGCTCTCTAGGTATATATTCTTGTAAAGCCCAATGTGCTCCTAGGAACGCAATGGAATGAAGAAGATTCTTGGGTTGTCCTATGCTTCTAGAATTCCTCGTTGCAAATTCCACGGGTATGCAGTATAAACTATTCCTAACACATACAAATTTAAAATTTATGGATTTGATAGAATTCCGAATTCCTATTACAAGTTCTATTTGTAATATATATATCTTAAAAATTGTGTACTGTTGTTAGTGAAGTCATTGAACGTTTGCTTCAAGGGAAATCTTTTTCAAGGGCTTTATGGTGTTCACCAAAATTTGAACTAGTTAACCAGTTTTTTTGACTCTTTCTATGTTTCGGGAGTGTATAAATGGATCCAGGTTTCACTCAGAAAAATGAAAAGTGAAACACATGCAGTGTTTATTAAATAGGTGGATCTTGACGTCATCATCACATTCTACGCTTAAATTTCTTTTTGATTAGTTTATAGTATTGATACGAATACTTTTGAACTTTTTGAACTTTTTAATTGTTTCGGGAAAATAAATTTAAAATAATATTTTTATGTCAATAACTAAATATATTTAATTTATATCTTATATTCTAAAAGGTTTTGGACTTGAATATTTTGAAGTTTTTAGAAAGTAAATTAAAAATACAATTTTTATGTCCATGAAGAATTTTTTTAAACTCAACGTTGTTAAGTTTTAGTTCCTTCCATTCTTTGACAACTTGCCATCCATAATCCAGATCCATAATTTGAGTATTTTTCTGAAATGGATTTTATTAATGACTATTACTAATCAAATTTAATGGCTTAGGCAGATGACAGCAGTTCATACTGGCAAGGACTATTTCACTTCCACCAAATAAACAGTATCAACTGCTTTGAAGTTAGTTAGTATACACAATATATATATATATGGAGGTTAAAGTTCGCTAACTTTTTTATATAGTACATTATCTTCAGTTATTTATTTTTCATTACCCGTCATATATCTCATTAAACATGACTATATTTCGAATGTTGTCTTCAATCAGAGTATTAAGTACTCATTAATCGACATACTAGACCAGATAGAACATACGCATTCCAAAATTGTTTATGTGTTTGATTGGTATTATCATGATAATTAGGAACAATGTTCAAGAATATCTTTCAATTTTAATACGAAAATATCTTTTAATATACATTAGAAAAACGTACATTGATGACAATGAAAAAATATAAAAATTATTTTACAATCGACTTTAAGTATATTTAAAGAATATTTAATAAACACGAGAAACATGAGTTTATAACAAATAAGAACAGTTCTTTATATTATAACCGTGTATTTTCAGTTATTTGAGGCTGGCTTCTACCAAGTCATTGTAGTAGGAATCTAAAGGATGGCTTGATATGTCAATGGCAGCCTTTACTCATTAAGCCACCGAAACGACACAGACTTGGACCATTACTTTATACAATTAGCCGAACATTTATTTACAATGAGAAGCGTTTTTAGTTCACTTTTATAATATTATTTATGTTGTTAAAGACCTATGTTAGGTGGTTTCTTTTTTGGCCTCAACACCCTTTAATAACATAAAGGATTTTTCTTTGATTGAAGATTTGATTGATAGAGTAATATATAATATATTACTATATATAATGATATAATGATATATAATTATATATATTTTTATATATAATATAGCATGGAATCGCTTCAGTTTATGGTATGTTAGTTCAGTTTAGAACTGTTTGGCACCAAGATGTCACTTATAAACTCTCGCTTTCTCAACGATATTAGTTAGGTAGAGAAGTAGTTCATAAAATTGTAATCCAATTCACGGCATCTTCAATTTGAGAACAAGTTTACCAGTTGCAAAGATCCACTTAACTATAGTCTGTTTAACAGAAAACTTAACTTCAAAGTTTTTAAGTGTGTGGTATTTCTTAGAATATGGTAAAGTTAATAGTGAAGTGGGGACCTGGCACCGTCGTATATTTAATTGTGATATTCGTACTGTGTTTTGTTTCCACAGTTCGACTGTTGTTATCATGATTTTAGTCCATATCACTTCACTATCCATGAGGCAAGGTGAATGCTTCAACGAGGAGTGGTGATAGGCAAGTTGTAGAATTCTTAAATATTATTTTTTAGATTTTATTTATTGGTTTTTTGTTTATTTTATTTATTTTTATATATTTCAAATAATACTTTATTACACAATTTTGCATTATTCATTTTCGGTCTCCGATTTTTTTTGTAAGAATTCAAAAGTAGAACGTAAAGAAAACTTTTCTGCCTCAAGCACTGAAAAGTGCAACCTCATCGAAAATTCTACAGAAACTATTTTTTTTTTTTTGAAGATTTTTTCAACACTTCTGACCTGGTAAGTCAGAAGCGCGCAGCAAAAGTAAGTCAAAATCACGAGACTTCAATTATGGAAACAAATCTAAAAACAAAGCGGACAGAAGAAATGAAAAAAAAATAAGTGACAAAAAAAAATAAACAAAAAGCAAAAGTGCGAGTGTCGGAAGTAGCCGTGAACTTCGAATTGCAACAACAATTCAGTGGGCCAATCGCTGACGCGCTCGTTGTTCTTTTCGCTTTTGCTTTTGTATCTCAACTTGAGCATCTATGAGAATGCGGAGGTGCCTAGATAGTCGCGCTTAATTATGCATTCATAACAATGTCTCAGATTTGTCCATGACTTTGAAATACATTAACATCCAATGCGTATCGATCTTATACACTTTCTCTTCACCTTTTATTTTTATTATTTTATTTAAAGAAGCTTTTTTCTCTAAACGGAAGCGGAAATTAAATATTTTAAGGATTCATCCGAATAAGTTAAAAATATTTTGACCTATAATTAAATTTTATATCATTAATATATTTTAATTATTAATAGTTAAGTTAGCAAAAAGTGGTTTGTGTCGAGGGACTCACGCTGTGATAACAGTGATGACACTTGCTCTTTCTAGAAATTCAATCTATTTTTCTCTATCAGTGTTTCCGGAGGATTGTTATAGACAGCACTTTTTCTTCGAAAACATTGCATGACATTTGATTTATTGTTAGTTACCTTTAATGCAATTGCAAATTGGTATTGAGTTTTTACTGTGAAGACTATACGATATATAGGTATCGGTATGCAATGAAAGAAATAAAATAAAATAAAATAATATAAATAATAAAATAAAAGAAAATCGAACTCTCTCATAGAGTTGCCCCGTAGAGATATCAGTCTCGCAGTAGGTTTACTTACAGGTCATTGTATTCTAGGTAACCATGCTAGGAGACGTAATCTCCCTTTTAACCATATCTGCCGCAGTTGTGGTAAGGATGATGAAAACGCCTCCCACCTGCTTTGCTTCTATCCGGCAAATGATCGGCGCCGCCTTAACATTAACATTATAGGGCCTTTATTTTTTGAGAATCTTGATGAACTTTAGTACCTAACTTTAAATAGCATCTAAAGCTTTGCCAAAGGTTCTAAATGGTTTCAACCCTTGGGTTTTAAATAATGCGGTAGCACAATGAGCCTATAGGCCTAAGTAGATCCTACTAGGATCGCCGGTATAACCTAACCTAACCTAACTTAGCTTTCAAGTGTGAACTATAATTCCGAGAATTGTTATATATCAGCAATAGCTGTACTCTAACTTTTGTGGTTAGATTTATCAAATCTATTTAATATATTTTTATTTGAATTTTGCTTTATATAAGACTCTTCAAAATCCCTCAATACAAGTACTAGCGGATGCTAGATTATAACATTGCAAACATTTGTTTTTTTTATTATAATTTTAAAGCAAACAGAAGATCGTCTTATCAATTTTCTATCAACAATTGCTATCAACAAATTGTTTATTGGAAAATCTATAGCAGACCGGCTGTCTATAATTGAAAAGATTGCGTTTTAAAGTAAAAATCAAGTGAATTTCATTTTGAGCACACATTGTTGCTAAGGTAACAATTAGAGATCGTTCCTATAGTTATATTTTT